GGGAAACAAAAGCAAAAATAAACTATTGGGACTACATCAAAATTAAAAGCTTCTGCACAGCAAAACTAAAAGACAACCTACTGAATGGGAGAAGATATTTGCAAATGACATATCCCATAAAGGATTAAAATCCGAAATACATAAAGAACTTATACAATTCAACACCCAAAAACCAAACAATCTAGTTAAAAATGGACAGAAGACATGAACAGACATTTCTCCAAAGACATACAGATGGCCAACAGACACATGAACAGATGCTCAATATCACTCATCCTAAGGAAAATGCAAATCAAAACTACAATGAGATATCACCTCCCACCTGTCAGAATGACTAAAATAAAAAACACAAGAAACAAGTGTTGGTGAGGAATGTGGAGAAAAAGGAACCCTCATGCACTGTTGGTGGGAATGAAAACTGGTGCAGCCACTGTGGAAGACAGTATGGGGGTTCCTCAAAAAATTAAAAATAGAACTACCCTACAATCCAGGAATTGCACTACTGGGTATTTGCCCAAAGAAAAACACTAACTCAAAGGGATACATCCACCCCTGTGTGTGTTGCAGCATTATTTACAATAGCCAAATTATGGAAGCAGCCCAAGTGTTCATTAATAGATGAATGGATTAAGAAAATGTGGGGTGGGTGTGTGTACAGACATAAAAAAGGATGAAATCTTGTCATTTGCAACAATATGGATGCATCTAGAGAGTATAATGCTAAGCAAAAAAGTGAGTCAGAGAAAAACAAATATCATATGATTTTCACTCATGTAGAATTTAAGAAACAAAAATGAACAAAGGGGGAAAAAAGGGAGAGAGGAGGGCAAACTAAGAAACAGACTCTTTAGAGAGAACGAACTGCTGGTCACCAGAGGGTAGGAGGGTGGAGGATTGGGTGAAACAGGTGACAGGGGTTAAAGAAGACACTTATCATGATGAGCACTGAGTAACGTATAGAATTGTTGATTCACTGTATTGTACACCTGAAATTAATATAGACTGTATGTTAACTATACTGAAATTAAGATAAAAAACTTAATAAATATATTAGAAATAATAATAACAATAATGTGAGCATGTGTAGTAGAGAGGAGAAAAATAAAGCAATTGTGACCAACGTTACTAGGAAATATGGGTGAAGGGTAAGTGGGTGCTCACTATTGTTCTTGCAGCTGGAGTTTTGAAATTTTTCAAAATAGCAAGTAAAAATTACAAATATTCAAAAGAAAAAAAAAAACAAAAGCAAAGGCATACTTTCATATATGTCCATACAGTGGTACCTCTTGGGAGCTGGAAGGCTGGGGTGCACAAGAGGGGTCTAGGAAGTTGGCAATGACAAGGTTCTGTTTGCTAACCCGGGTAGAGGTTACATAGATGGACATTTTTGTTTTGTGTTCTTTTCTGTACATGTGTTAATAGTTCACGACTTTAAAAGTTAAATATGTTTTGGGGTGCATGGGTGGCTCAGTCGGTTAAGTGGCTGCCTTCAGCTGAGGTTGTGATCTCAGGGTCCTGGGATCGAGCCCCAAGTCGGGTTCCTTGCTTAGCAGGAAGTCTACTTCTCCCTCTCCCTCTGTCCCTCTCCTCTGCTTGTGCTCTTTCGCTGGCTCTCTCTCTCAAATAAATAAAATCTTTTTTAAAAAGTTAAATATGCTTATATGCTCTGAATTATTCTTTTTTTTTTTTTTAAAGATTTATTTATTTATTTATTTGAGAGAGACTGAGATAGAGACAGCATGAGAGGGGGGAGGGTCAGAGGGAGGAGCAGACTCCCTGCTGAGCAGGGAGCCCGATGTGGGACTCGATCCCGGGACTCCAGGATCATGACCTGAGCCGAAGGCAGTCGCTTAACCAACTGAGCCACCCAGGCGCCCCATGAATTATTCTTTATAGTACATTTCCTAGACTTAAAGTGCTTGAGTCTAATATGCAGTTTCTGCTTAATGTCTGTATTATCTTCCTATTTGAAAGTCTAATGTGGTCAGAGACTATGTTTCTCTTATTAACCCGTGTCTGGAACAAAGTAGGCAATCATATTTCATTGAATGATCAAATAAATTACATAAATCTCACTTCTAAGGAATTTATTACGAAGATAAAATCAGAGATGTGGTTAAAGATTTGTGAACAAAGATGTTCTGAGCAAAATCTTGGCAATAAGATTAACACTTAACAGGAACTGGATAAGTAAATTACTCCCAATATAAGGAAATAGTGTGCAGTCATTAGAAGGCATATGTTCAATATTCGAAAACAGAAGGCAGAGGAAAGGCTCATGAAAGTTATTTTTCAATTTTAAAAATTTTCCAGGGCGCCTGGGTGGCTCAGTCATTAAGCGTCTGCCTTCGGCTCAGGTCATGACCCCAGGGCCCTGGAATCGAAACCCAAATCGGGCTCCCTGCTCCATGGGAAGCCTGCTTCTCCCTCTCCCACTCCCCTTGCTTGTGTTCCTGCTCTTGCTATCTGTCTCTGTCAAATAAATAAAATCTTTAAAAAAAAAAAAAAATTTCCATTTTTTTTTTTTTTATTGTGGCAAAATACACAAAACATTAAAATTTCCCACCTTAACCATTTTTTAAGTGTACAGTTCTCCAGTTTTATGTACATTCACACTGTGGTGCAACCATCTATCTCCAGAATTCTTTTCATCTTGTAAAACTAAAATTCTGTACCTAGTCTACATAATCCCCCCATTCTCTCCCCCTTGGTCCCTGGCAACCGCCATTCTTTTTGTGTCTGTAAATTTCATGACTCTAAGGACCTCATCATATAAGTGGAATCATACAGTGTTTGTCTTTTTGTGACTGGCTCATCTCTCTTAGCACGTCGTCCTCATGGCTCATGCACAGCGTAGCGTATCATCAGAATTTCCTTCCTTTTTAAGGTGCATATATACCCCACTGCGCTCATCCATTCAGCCGTTGATGGACACCTGGCTTGCTCCTCCCTGTCAGTTACCGTGCATAGTGCTGCTGAGAACATGAGTGTACAGTTACCTGTTTGAGTCCCTGTTTTCAGTTCTTTTGGGTACCTACCCATGAGTGATTTGCTGGATCACATGGTAACTCTCTTTCCCATTTTTTAAGTAACTACCCAACTGTCTTCCACAGTGGCTGTGCCATTTTGACCAACTGCACGAGGGTCCCAATTTTCCAGATCCTTACCAATGTTTACTTTCTGTTTCATACTAAGAAACCGTTAGGACACAGAACTACAAATGTTATAGTCCCAATTTCATTTTCAAAAAATCAAATTTATGTATGCAAAGAAAATAAGTTTGGGAGTAAACCAAAATGAACTAACTGATGACATACCTAGATTGAGGGATAAGAGTTATTTTCTGTTCTTCAGACTTTTCTCTATTTTTCCAATTACACACGAAGAACATATATTCTTTAGACATAAAAAAAAGGCTATTAAAAATTCCCTTGTCGGAGCACCTGGGTGGCTCAGTTGGCTAAGTGTCCAACTCTTGGTCTCAGCTCAGGTCTTAAGCTCAGGGTCGTGAGTTCAAGCCCTGCACTGGGTGTGGAGACTACTTACAAAAAAAAAAAAAAAAAAAAAAATTCCCTTATCTATGACCACTATTTACCTAACTCAACACTATATGATTATAGAAAAATTAATAAATCATGGTACAGTAAGATTAAATTAAATTTCCTTCTGCTATTTTAATTACCAAAAAGCATTTGTTGTTGGTATAAAAAAAAAAAGTTTCAACTCAAAACAGAATTTCAAAGACAAAAGCAGATATGGGCACTAAAGCAAAGCAGGATTATGTATGAAGTTGTACATGCCAAGTATTTTTTTTTTTAAGATTTTATTTATTTGACAGAGAGGGGGAGAGAGACCATAAGCAGGGGGAGCAGCAGGCAGAGGGAGAAGGAGAAGCAGGCTTCCCACTGAGTAGGGAGTCCAATGCGGGGCTAGATCCCAGGACCTCGGGATCATGACCCAAGCCGAAAGCAGACGCTTAACCGACTGAACCACCCAGGAGCCCCTGACAAATATTTTTTTAAAAAAGATTTTATGTATTCATTTTAGAGAGAGAGAGCATGCTCAAGCAGGGAGAGGGGTAAGAGGGAGAAAGAATCTGAAGCAGACTCTGCACTGAGTACAGAGCCCAAGGCGGGGCTCGATCCCACAACCACAAGATCGTGACCTGAGCCGAAACCAAGGGTTGGACGTTCAACCGACTGACTGTGCCACCCAGGCTCCCCACATGACAAGTATTTTTTAAAAAGAAAATTGAGGGGCGCCTGGGTGGCTCAGTTGGTTAAGCGACTGCCTTCGGCTCAGGTCATGATCCTGGAGTCCTGGGATCGAGTCCCGCATCGGGCTCCCTGCTCAGCAGGGAGTCTGCTTCTCCCTCTGACCTTCCTCCCTCTCATGCTCTCTGTCTCTCATTCTCTCTCTCTCAAATAAATAAATAAAAAATCTTAAAAAAAATAAAATAAAATAAATAAAATAAAAAGAAAATTGAGATAATAATGTAGATAATTTAATGACAAAATTCTCTTTCATTAGTCACATGGCTTCCTTTCCACAAGTGTGTTGTGCCATCATTCCCTTATCAGCAGTTTTTTGCTTTATTTCCTAAGTAGTTCCCCCCCAACCCCAATGCAATTCTACTCAAAACCCCATACAAATGAGACAAGTAAAGCATCTCCAGACAAAGCAGAGGCCTGGGTCCCTGGCACCAGCTCAGCCTCCTCCAAACCCTCAGGAACCACCACCATACAACCGAAGGGCAGCAAAACACAGTGTCAAAGGCACGGCAACACTTGAACTGCGCTGTCTGGTATGTGTAAGCTGCTCCCTACTCTAACTTTCGGAGGGACAACAGATTCTGGGGACATTTCCTCTATTTCCTATTAAGAACTAAAGGAAAACACAGACACACAGATACAGATACATTCAGACTCCTCCTTCCATCCTACTTCCATACCATATACTGCATGTTTGATGCTAAAAAATTCAGGACCAGTTCCCTTTACCTGGAGCAGTGGATCTTACTGGGGGAGTCTTCCTCTTGGCCAAGAAGTTTCTCAGCTGTGCCTGTTTCACGGGTGACAGTTTAGCTGCAAGAAATTCATGAACCCATAAATGCTTAAGACTTGGTTATTAAGAAGTCAACAGAAGAGGACATAGAGAGTTAAAGAGTGAGAAGAATGTGTTTACCTGGCACTCTGGACAAGGGCTTGGTGTGAGATTCTATGGTGGTTTTCAATAAAGCATTACGGAGACTTTCGAGGTCACTGTCAAAACTGAAAGAGGATCGTGTTACATACAAACCAACTATGACCTGAGAAATCTCCCAATATAAATGCCAGAGATGAAAGCCTCCCCAATACAGAAATAGGAAATCTGACCAATCAACATAATCAATCCAAAAGGAAAGAGATTACAATCTCAATACCTCCCCACTCCGGGGCAAACACAGCACTAACAGCGCTTTTAGCACAAAGGGCAATTAGAAGGTACACATTCAGCCTAAAGGCAGAAACATAAAATCACCCTGGTAACTGCAGGAGTAAACTGTCTAACTGCCAGGTCTGAATGTTTCTACTCAAACAAAATGACAAGTCTGAGCTTCTAGACACGTTAGTGAACCTCATTCTACCAGTTAATTTTCAAAAGAACAATGCTATTTCTATAGGATCTGCCATCATCCGCTGGTACCTGTTTCATCTGGCATGCTGTATTTAACTCTCCAATAATCCCGAGGCAGGTATTGTTACTCCCATTTTTTAGGCAAAGGAACAGAGGATCAGAGAGGGTGAGGAACCTGGCCAGGATCACACAAGTGACAGCAGGGTCACTTTCAAACCCACATCTGAACTACTCTACGACTTCTGCACCTGACTCCCAAATGGTTATCTGTGCCTTCAACCACATTCATCGAGTGCCAGTGGCACCGACAGGCCCATTCCCCTGCACACCCATGAGTGCCGCTCTGGGAGGTGACATCCGAGGGAAGGCTCCACTGCGAGGTTTGGTTATAGAGACGGAGCTGCTGGAGACTGTCCACTAGGTGATTCAACCTCTTCCTCTGCTGGTTGATGATTTCCCGGTTGTTCGCTAGGGTGTTAAACAATGTCTCTCGCTCTGGCACAAGCAAGCGCCTGTTGACAGCAAGGAGGAAAGAATTCGACATGAATGGTGCAAGTACTACAACTCTTAACAGTGAAAGAATAAAATGGAGAACTCCCAGCGGACAGGCAGCATCAGGAAATTAACCAGAACATAAAAAGGGGATGAAAGCTTTACAAGGATAATATAGAATGAGGAAGAAGAAGCTTAAGGTAAGCAGGCTGGGCCTGTAGCAAAGGATAGCATCATCAGACAAAACCTCACAGATGTTCCGGGGAAGAAAAGGGTGGGAGACGGAGTAAAAAATGGGGCGGGGGGGGGGGGGGGAAGATGCGTTTAGCTATATACTTAGGGCTTGTCTATTTTCCTGCAAGTCAATTACACCAAGAAAAAAAGCCCTGGGGTCCACTAGAGGTCTATGGAAATCAGTCATTTCTACAGGGTGCTGTTAAAAAACACTGGGATAAGCTCTCAGTTTAGCAACAGGGAGGTACCCCACCTGAAAGATCTAAAACAAGAAAGGAACAACAGTACCTTTCTTTCCGGTGACAGGACAGTTCAACATAAATTTTTAAAAGATTTTATTTATTTATTTGACAGAGAGAGACAGTGAGAGAGGGAACACAAGCAGGCAGAATGGGAGAGGGAGAAGCAGGCCCCCCGCTGAGCAGAGAGCCCGATGTGGGGCTCGATCCCAGGACCCTGGGATCATGACCTGAGCTGAAGGCAGACGCTTAACGACTGAGCTACCCAGGCGCCCCTCAACATAAATTTTTAAAAAGGCATTTCAGTAGGCTACGAGATAATATATGAAGCCTATGATGTGATCCCACAGAATAGCAAGTAAACAGATCATTTCCCGATTTGTTTCCTTACAGGGCTAATCACACTAATCAAGTGTAGGTGTTTCAGAAGCCGAGCATTTTGAGGGCTGATCTGTTTTTCTCGGCTTTCCTGTGGGCACCTTCACTGTTCTCAAGATGTACTGCTTTCTATTCCTTCAGGAAAACAGATGGTATACAACCAAACATCCGGGGACGGAAGAGCAGTGTAGTACAAGGCTTTCCTGCACCTTTCTTCCTCTCTTCCTTCTAAGTTATCCACACTAATTAGGAATGTTTTCTCAACAAGAAGATTTGGAATATACAGAAAAGTATAAAAGAAAAATTCCTCTTAATCCCACCTCAAAGATATAACTGAATATTGTGACTGATTTATTTCTAGCCTCTTTTCTACGTTTAGACCTCTAAACTGAGATCATCCAGTCTGATTTTTGTCTTACCTCCTTCTTCCATATTTTTGGGGGGGGGGGGGGGGAATCAGTGGTTACACAGTATTCCACATTAAGCAAAAAATGTGACCGGACTTATTTAGCCACTCCTCTAGCTTCTAGATATTAGGTTGAATCCAATTTTTCACTGTCATATATTCTGCTGCAATATAAATTCTTTTATGTAAACTGTTGCAAATGTTGCTATTATTTCTGTATAACAAATATCCAGAAATATAATGACTGGGTCAAAGAGAATGAACAATTGTAGGGTTTTTAATCAGTGCCCCTAAATTATCTGTTAAAAAGGCTACAGCAGTGTCTCCTGCAACCCGTGGTGGGTGAGAGACCTCGCTCACTTTTGTTTTCTCTTTTGTTCCAGATGCCGATCCCATTCCAAGTCTAGCACATCGTTCACATCTTGGACAGCAAATTTCACATATTGATGAAGGCGCCGAATTTCCTACAAGAAAAAAACGAGAAGGCAAATGACTAAGTTTTCCAGTAGCTTGGAGGAGGGTGTATTGAAACAATCAAAATAATTTTGCAATATTTTTCTACTGAGAACCATAACGAAAAAAAGAAAATGCAAGAGGCTTTAATATAATCATTAGAACGTTATAATTAAAGCAAAAACAACAGAACTCAACCTTTTTAACTGCGATAGAGGAGCAGTTACAAAGCACAGGGAAGCAGGTTGGGTGTGCCGGCCTAGGGCTCCAGGGAACATGCTGTTGCTTATTCTCACTTGTCAGCTCCTATAAAGCAACTCAACATGCTCTAGGAATTTTCCACTGCACTCTGCTGCTCCAGCAGCACATCCATTTAGCTTTTGTTCTCCCACCCATGAAATTAACTGTAATACAGACAAAATTATCCTACAAAAGTGCTGAAAATAATTCTGAACCTATGTATTCATAGCATGGGACACCAAAGTCTTCTTACCAGTTGAGAAAAACTCATCTCTTCTCAAAGAATAGTATCAGCACTAGACATGGGACTGACCATTCACTAAAATTCACACCCATTTGAGGCCTGCAGTAATTTTCTTTAAACTTCGGTCTGGTGTTCACCTTCCTGGCTACACAACCTGACTCTCAAAAATTAAAAGTGAAATAAAGATGAAGCATTCCATTAAATATGTATACAAAGGAAGACGATGTGCTATGCACTAGGAGTAAGTTTTTACATCTGTACGAAGTTCTTACTGTGTTTAACTGTATTTTCGAAATTACTCTTGGCTAAGGGTATATGGACCTAGTGGAAAAAGAGCAAATTGTCCTTTAAAAGGAGCCAGGCTGGGGTGCCTGGGTGGCTCAGTTGTTAAACGTCTGCCTTCGGCTCAGGTCATGATCCCAGGGTCCTGGGATAGAGCCCCGCATTGGGCTCCCTGCTTCTCCCTCTCCCACTCCCCCTGCTTGTGTTCCCTCTCTCGCTGTGTCTCTCTCTGTCAAATAAACAAATAAAATCTTTAAAAAAAAAAATTGCAAATGCATTTAACTGCTGACCCAGTGATCTCTTTAAAAAAAATAAAATAAAAAAATAAAAAATAAGGAACGCCTGGGTGGCTCAGTTGTTAATAAGCATCTGCCCTCCGCTCTGGTCATGATCCCAGGGTCCCGGGATCGAGTCCCGCATCGGGCTCCCTGCTCCGCGGGGAGTCTGCTTCTCCCTCTGCCTGCCGCTCCCCCTGCTTGTGCGCTCCCTCCCTCTCGCAAATAAATAAAATGAAAAAATTAAAAAATAAAATAGAATAAAAGGAGCCAGGCCGATCCCAGGAAGCAGTAGTAACCTTAGCACCGAGTACAACCTGTAGCTCACTACTCAGATGGCTGCAGGGAGGCCTCCTTTGAGCATAAGTGCTGCCGTGCCTCGTGTGTTCGCGAGCACTGCTGCTTCTGCGTGCCTCCCACTGTCTACCCGACAAGCCAACTTCTCTTTTAAGGCCTGTCACAGCTACTTCTTCTCTGTGGCCTAGCTGCTCCCTCATCTGCACTGCCACAGCAACAGATCCCACGTTTTCATGTTCCCTCTTCCACCACCACTTATCCAGCTGCAGGGACGGGACAGCGTGGCGCGGTGGTGAAGAGGCACAGACCCCGCACCAGACTCGGGCTCCAGCATTTATTCACAGGGACACCTGCGCCGTCCCAGTGTCTGCTTCCTTATCCTTCTTTTCTATGTGGTATGCGCTCAGTAAATGCTAGCTGTAATTATCTGCTTGGTACTGTGAAAAAAAGAAAAGCATTTCCTTTGGAATGGGGAAAGTGTCCCCCCAAAACTGTATGCTTTTCTTTTCGTCTGGACACGGAGCAAGAGGTGAAAATGCACGAAGGAACAAAATGTATCTCGATGCAACACGGAGGTGGTCATTCGATGAGTGGCAGGCAGGGAGCCTGCTCTCTCTTGCTAAGACAGTAAATACCCACAGTCCTCCAGCAACACCCCAAGGGCTGAGGACACAGCGGGGGTTCCTCAACCTCTCCAGGACAAGGATCATTTTGTTCCTTTTCCTACCATCGGTCAGTTTACCAGGTATGGGATGGAAATGGCAGAAAGTGTAGAGTCCGCAGTCTCAAACTCCCTGAGGCAGGAGGGGATTCATCACACTCACAGACCTCACATCCTAGGTGAGGAAGTTCAGAGCGGCCAACCGTGCACCCTCTCCTACCAGGACTCTGGGCAAATGCGAGGAGGGAGGAGGTAACCCCGCTAAAGCTTGTGATGCAACAATTTTCAGTAAATTGAAAGATGAAAACAAAAACCAGATTTCACTACAACAGAGAATAAGAATAATCATAAATGAGAGAAGTGACTCTGCTGAAGTATGGTGTACAGGAAAGAGCCCCAGCAAGTGGAGCTTTCCAACTGTTCACTCTTTTTTTTTTAATATATATGTATTTTTAAATATTTTATTTATTTATTTGAGAGAGAGCACATGAGAGGGGGGAGGGTCCGAGGGAGAAGCAGACCCCCCGCTGAGCAGGGAGCCCGAGGCGGGACTCGATCCCGGGACTCCAGGATCATGACCTGAGCCGAAGGCAGTCGCTTAACCAACTGAGCCACCCAGGCGCCCCCAACTGTTCACTCTTAACTAACATCATCATCATGGTCAAGCTCCTTAGACCATGGGGCCCAACTTCCTTAACTGTATAATGGGATCAGTAACTCTCATCTTGCAGAGCAGTTGGTTTTGAAGTCTAGAAATAACGTGCAAAACACAGGCAGCACTGTACTTAGCGCTCAACGAGTAGTTGTGACCTGAAACCTTATTATTCATGATTTGATTTTTAGGTATATTTTTTTTCAATGGTATGCTTTCTACCAAGCTTACAGTTTACTCAAGAATTCTAACGTTAGTTTTAATTCTACAAAACATGAAGTGGAGAAGTGCTGTTTTCATGGCCACGGCCAAGGACATCTATGGAAAGTGGGCAAATTATTCACAGGAAACCAACAATTTCCTAAGGGCAGGCATCCGAATCAAGACCTGACAAAGGAGAATGACTTGCAGGAGTTGGTTTTAAACAGCTCATTTGGGCTGGATTCTCCTACCTGGAGCTGGGCTTCACTCTTGGGGTCCAGGGGTCTCTTATAGAGCAAGTGCAGATACCCAGAGTCGCAGTCCCTCTCGTTTTGTTCCCTGGCTTCTTCCACACCAGCAAAGCCCTCAAGTAAAGTTGTTTTCAGGTTACTGATATCTCCATGAAGAGACTAGAAAAGGTACAAGGGCCATATTGAGACAAAGAGTAGCATTTCTGAGAAACAAACCTTTCTGTCCGGATCAAGGACAACGATTTGGTGTTTCTCAAACAGCTTACATGCTGCACCTGTGAGTACACAAAAAGAAATTCATACAAAAAAGAAATTCACTGCTTGGAAAGACAAAAACACAAATATTCACTTTTTTAAAGTTATTTTTTCTTCCTCATTGAAAACCACATATTCCAATGACCAGAAACTCAAAGAGTAAGAAAAGCTACTGGTTGTACCTAGAGTCCCACTGCCTGAAGACAACCACTGCCGACACCCTGGAGAACTCTCCTCTTTCCAAGGAGAGTTCAGAGCAGGGCTCTGGAGGCAGACAGTCAGGGAGTGGCACATGGTAACTGGGTAGCTTTGGGCAGATTATTCCACCTCTCTATGCTGAAGCTTCCTTACTTGCAAGAGACACAGAGCAATAGCACCTACCAAACAGGACGGTTTGAGAATCAGCAGTAATACTTGATATTTTTACATTGTATATGCTCATAAACCTCTTTACTATAATCTAACAATTTATTATAAAATATGGTAAATTTTCAAATATACCTAAACTAGTAACTATAATAAACTTTAATGAATGGCTGGTATTTGTCAATGGGATAGAAACTATTATTATTCCATTTTCTATATGAGAAAACTAAAACCTAGAGTAGCTACATTAACCTGCCTAAAGTCACATAATTTGTTAAGTGCTGAAGATAGGATCTGAACTTGGGCATTCCTAGGTAAACTACTCATGCTTCTATTAAAAAACAACAAAAACCCAAAAAACAACCACACAACACCAGGGTCCTTGAAGAATGGAGTGCTAGGAGAGCAACTTTCAAAGTGCAATTCAACTCAGGAAGAACGTCAGTAAGCACAGACCTCCGTGGTCTCTTTAATCTCCAAAAGAAAGGCGTGCAGGTCGTCGGATTCCGTTCGCAGCATCTTCATCTCCTCCGGAGTGCCCACTTGGAAACAGGCTTTGGACGTCCGGGCTTTCAGCTCTCCCAACTCCTTCTGAAAGTGCGCAATCTGCGGGAGCCAGAAAAGAGGAAGGCCCTCAGTCTGAACGGGACAGCGGTGCTGTCATGGCTCCTGGTCCCTCACAGCATGCAGCTCCAGGGCGCACCGTGGCCAAATGCCAGAACAAAACGGTCATGCACGAGTCTGCACTCAGAGCCAGTCTCACGGTCAGAGCGACTTCCGGAAAAAATCCGCAGGAACGACTTTACCTCCTCCCCGATTCCAGCCATCACAGGATCTGGCTCTTTCCACTGGTGTCCCTGCTTTTCTGCAACAGGAGGCTGAGGTGGTCTCGCCTGAAATGGAAGGCCCAAGGTTGGCGATGCACGCCCCCATATGAACGGCTCCTTGAAGCAGCTACTTCAGTGCCGGGCACCCTCGCGGTACAGTCACTGCTCCCCCACCCCTTCTTTCGAACCGTACTGACAGGGGACCTCTTGGTGGGAGGCATGCTCTAGACAGTGGGGAGGGGTGAACAAGACAGAGGCGGTCCCTGCTCTGCTGGAACCTAGGTTCTACTGGGCTAAGACAGGTAAGAAGTAAGCAAGTCAGATCAATTTCAGCTGGTGACAGTGATAGGACAAAAGTAAACAGGACCTTAAGAAGAGAAAGGGGGCACGACTGGAGAGGAGAGGGCCCAGAAAGCCCTCACTGAGCACAGTCTCTGACCTGAGTCCTGAGGTAAAGCAGAAAGCTACGGAAAGTTCTAGAGGAAGCACCCTCCAGGAAGCGAGAGGCGCAAGCGCAGAGAATGGGAGGCAGGAAAGAACTCTGGCATGCTGGAGGCCAAGAGATAAAGTAAATGCGGGCCCAGGGAAGTCGGTGGGGATGGAACTGGAAAGGGCTGGTCAGATCGTGTATGACTAAACCAAGGAGTCTGAATGTCTTTCTAAGAGTGGTGAAAAACTACTATTGGAGTTCCGGGAGAGTTTGTTCTTTGATTTATGATTTTGAAAGATCCCTCTTGCTGCTAAATCAAGCACAGATGTCAGTGAGAGGGAGAAGAAATAGGGAAACCAGTCAGGAGGGTAACGAGGCAAGAGACAACAATGGGCTGAAATAATGACGCTAACAGGGGCAACAGATGTGGATTTATGCCACGCACACGCCACATCAGAGTACAGCTGACAAGATCTTCCGCTACTAAGGACTAGGGGGAGCTTCTGTTAAATAGAGGGATCCAGAATGACTTCTGGGTTTGGGGCTTGAGCAAACCACCTGGAACGGGTTCTGGAGGAGACAGAAATCAAGAATTCTGCTGTAGAGACGTTGTAACTTGAGATGGCTTTTAGATTATTTGATACCTACAGCAATTACCATATAAAGGATTTTTAGACTAAATAAGCAATCATTAAAACAGAAAACATTAATCTAATAAATACCACGTGTCGTGCACTATGCCAAAAGTTAGACTTATAAGCTGGGCATTTACTATGAACCCCATAAAACAGCAAGCATTTATGTAAAAGTCCCACAAGTCAAGCATTATGCCAAAAGCACCTGTAAATAGGGCATTTACTGTGTGCCCTGTGGGGGTGTGTGCTGAGGGCAGGAGTGAGGCTGGTGGGGAAAGAGAAGGAAAAACCATGACTCTGGTCCTGAGGGCACACAAGTCAAGTGGGAAAGTGACATAAAATTCTCTTGAAGTTAAACCATAATAATAAACTGAGGTGACAGATTGTATATCTAAATATGAAAGGAAAATAATAAAGCTTTTAGAAAAACACAGGAAAATATCTTTTTGACCTTGGACCCAGAAATAATTTCTAAAACAGAACACAAAAAGCACGAACCTAAAAGAAAAGGTGATATACTGAACTGTATTAAACATTTGTCATCAAGACACCACAAGCAGAATGAAAAAGCAATTACAGAGAAAGTATTTGCATTATGTGTGCACACGTGCATGTGTGTACCCGACAAGGAACTCTTACAGAAATCAGTAAGAAGACAGACAACCCCATAGAAAAATAGATTAAAGACTTAAGAACAGACACCCCATTAAAGAAGCTATTCAAATGGCCAAAACCACATGGAAAAAAGGCTGAATTTTAGAGGTCATCAGCGAAATACTAATTAAAACCACAAAATACGACAATAAAAAATGAAAACTAGAAAGACCAGTGAGGATACAGAGCAGCTGACTCTCATATACTCCTGGTGGGCATTTACTAAAGAGAAATATACACAGCAATTCCACTCCTCTGCGTACGTCCAACAGAAACGCATTCGTATGTTCACCCACAGACCTATGTTGTGACCCATGTTCACAACAACGCTATTTGCGGTAACTTAAACCTGGAAGCTCTTCAGATGTCTGTCAGGGGTAGAATACACACTTGTAGTATAGCTGCATTCCATACAGCCACAATGATGTGGATCAATCTCACAAACATAACGTTGAACCAAACTGCCCGATACAAGAATACACACTGTGTGATTCCATTTTAGAGAAGGTAGGAATAGGGCAAACTAAGTTCCACTGTCAGAAATCATAGCAGGGAGCCCCCTTCGGCAAGGGGAGTAACTAAAAAGGGCACATGTGAGGGAGAATTCTGGGGTCCTGGTAATGTGCCATTTCTTGACCTGAGTGTTGGTTACCAAGGCATATTCAGCTGGTGTACGGGAATACTTTTTTTCCCATACGTATTATATGCCAATAAAAAAATTAAGGAAAATGATGTTATGGGTAAACTGAGATGTTATAGAAAGCACAGAAAAAGATGGCAATGGATAGATTTCTCAGGTTCTTTGGGAATGAGAGAAAAAAATCAGGTACTACAGTCTTTTCAGGCAGAGAGAACACAACAAAGTGAACAGCACAGCACAGACAAGCTCAGGAACCAGCAGAGAAAACAACGCTAAGACTCTGGGGTTGAGATAAATGGCTTTTAGGAGCACACATTATAAATGTTCCAAGCTCATACTTTAGTGCTTCCCATCACATAGCTCTGAGTACTATTTCAAAGGTATGAATTCTAAAACACGAAAACCAATTTTATAATAAACATGCATGACGGGGGCAACAGATGAATATACACACCATGGTAAGTCAGGTTTGAACATACCTGGGGAGAGCCTGACTTTGCCACTGGAGGGGTTATCCTGGGTGACTTCTGTACCATTGAGGGCACGGGGCCTGGGCTGCCCTGAGTAGACCGCCCTGCTGGAATAAGAGGTCAGTGAAAACAGAGAGCATTTCTTGCCATTATTTCTCCCAGCACTGCCCTTCCCTCAAATCTAAAAAAAAAAAAAAACTTCTCAGTGTCCCCGGCCCCCGTTTCATGGTTTTTGTTACCAAGAGTAGCATCTAGTTTGTTAGGCCTGCTCCAAGATAACAAAAAGCTAGATGTGAAACTCTTTTATAGAGCAGATAAAACTGGGATGTCTCTGATAGTAGTAGGTATGTGCAGTTTTGTGCAGGCCCAGGAGGCTGGCCATGTGGCCCATCCTTACTCCCCAGAGACTTCTGTTGCACCTCTGGGAACTGGGGACAAAGTTTAAATAATCCCATTACCTTGTAAGAACTCAAAGGGTCTTCAGGACCCTACTGGAGGTTTCTAGAAAAAATCTTGCTCTTTTGCACATTAGAATCACCTAGAGAGCTTTTAAAAAACAAATATACCAAAAACTCATACCCAAACCTCACCTCCAGAGAGCCTGATTGAACTGTTAGGGAGAGGATTCCCCAGGGAGTCTAGAGTGCCACTGGAATTATAATCCAATAAGCCAGGACCCTCCAAACTTTAAGAATTAAATAATGCCAGCGGGGAGGGGGGTGGAGATCTGGGTGGTAAGCAATGGAAATGGAGACCGTGTATGTGCATCACAGTTCAAATTTTCTCTCCCACACTGAAAACAGATGTGAAAAGACTAAGGCAAGACTCCTTAACTTTCTGGGTCAGAGACAGATATCTTTCAGAATTGGAGGGAAAGTCCTAGAATGGGGTGACTTTGGCAAACTCCACAAGGCAGTCTTCTCTCATGAGCAATAGGTAAGATAGGCAAGAGAGTTGATTCCAGGAATTCACAGCTCAGTGCCTGCTCAATATTTACCAAGATAACATTATTCCTGACACTCAAACACTAAACGGTTACCCAAACATGTCTGGCTATGTATCATCGCTGACATTCATGAAAATAACCCACTTAAAAACTGAGACAGACCTGGCAAACACCATCTAACCACATGAGCAAATTCACATTACTCACATCAGGACAAGATGACATCATGTGATGTGATACCCATCACCTATGTGGTATTACTGCCCAAAACGTTTAAATAGAATCTCATCGTGTGGAAACAATCAAGTCCAAATTGAGGGACTATTCCCAAACTACTGGCCTGACCTCTCCACAAACATCAATGCTGAGAAAGATGAGAACAGCAAAGAAATATTTGACAATGAGACTAAAGAGAAAAACTGGAATAGAACATGTGGTCCTTGACTGGAGGGAAAAAGGCCATAAAGAACATTATTGGGACAACCGTGGAAGTGTCAATGTGGGCTACAGATCAGATTATGGTTACATTTCCTGGGTGTGATAATGTATCACGTACCCCTGTATTTAAGAGGTATGTGCTTACGCGTTTAGGGGTGAAGTTTCTGTGACTAACTCTCAAATATTTTATTAAAAGAATGTATGCTAAAAAGACACAAAGCAAATGGTGCAAAGTGTTACCAAGCGTTGCCTTGGTGGAGGGCACAGTCTTCATTACACAGTTCACACAACCTTTCTGCAGGTATGAAAGGGAAAAAAGACAGACCAGGTACATTTGCTCGTGGAGTTGTACCACGCACTTCGATCCAACCTGGTTATGAGAACTATTTCCACTTGTAATCTTTATTTCATAGAACTTGCTCACAGTTGGGCTGAGTGTGAAAATCACAGTCAGCCATCAGAAGCGAGAAGCCTAAGAGTTACCGCAGGCTTTTCCTCCTCTATGGAACTTCATGAATTGTTCTACAACTGCCCTTCACATAGGGCAGGCTCCACATGAAGACAGATGTCACACAACAAGAGACTTGTGTCATCAAGTACACTTAGCTCCATGAGAAACATCTGGAGAGCCAAGGGTGGCCGCACCCAGGCCGCGGCAACCCTCCCAACGGAGAGTACAACCGTCAGAGCTCACCAGTGTGAGATACAGGAAGCAAGAACGGCGATCTAGTCTGACTACGGTGGCTAGGGTTCCTAACAACTGAAACACGCAAATGTCAGAATTCGGGGCTGAGCTCTGCAGCAGTTTGCTTAAAATCATACCTGATGCTGAGGGAGAGACTGAGGACTTCGAAGACACAGAGCCAGGTGGTGCTGAGAGCGGCGTGGGGTGGCCGAGGGGTCCAGAAGCAGCCGGCTTGGAGGCAGAGGGGAACGGCAGTGTCACGGGCCCACCCTGGGAGCTGATGGCAGGAGTGGAGGGAGCCACGGCAGTGAACCTGAAATGGCGGCCCGGCCGCGTGAGGAGCGCCTGCGCTGAGGCTCCTTCACACTGGTCGTGAACAGTGCCACCAATGGGTGAATCACTGCTCCTATGGGCGACTCACTGCTCCTATGGGCTTGCCTTCGTGAAACATAAATGTTTAGCTATTGCTTACAAACGGTGAACGCTGCAAGGCAACATTTATCTTATCTTCTGCGTATTGAGGAGTCAACTACTCCATGAAAATAACGAGCACCTAACATGAAGGAGAAATGAAGTTTATCGGGACGTGAAATATTTTTCTTTTATCAAGCCAAGTGAAAAAAAAAGGAGGCTGGGACTCCATTATACTTAGGAGGGGCTAGTATTGTCCTGCCGAGGAAACTACCGAGGACTCGCTTTGGGGCACTCACCCCCTCTGGGGAGTGAGAAAGGCAGAGGGGAGCAGATCACCGGCTTTGGGACGCTCACGGGCATGGAAAGTTAAGTCTTCCCTACAGAGCAAAAGCCCGGAAACAATCTAACTGTCCAGCATCAGTGGGCTGGCCAGAGACATTTCAGCGAGGCTACAAAGTGGAATCCCAGGCAGCCGTTAGAATGAGGTGGCCGTGTGACAACGGGAGCAGCGGGGGCGACAGCGAGCACCGCCTCTGCGGCAACGAGAGCCAGCAGACAGGAGAGCGGGCAGGCTGGGAGGGGTGTGCGGTATCAGCCACCACTTTCTGCAGGAGGCTTACACTCCAGCGGGGAGAACACAAGCAGCAGATAAGGAAGTAAAAAATGGGATCTGAGTGAGCTGGTAGGACCACATGGGGAGGAAACGGAGGACCGTGTGAAGGAGTCTGGACTGTCCTGGAAAAGAAGTGAGAAGCCCCTAGGGCCCGTCAGGCAGGAGAGTCACCTGACACAGGTACAACTTCACAGACGACTGTGGTGGCTGTCACTAAGCAGTTCAGAGAGTAAAGGGAAAAAGGACTATGAGAGATTCATCCCCCCACCCCCCACCAAGGACATGTATTCCTTATTGCTTCATCTTTTAAAATAATATCAGGGCGCCTGGGTGGCTCAGCCGGTTAAGGGTCCGACTCTTGATTTTGGCTCAGGTCATGATCTCAGGGTCTTGAGATCCAGCCCCACATCAGGCTCCATACTGGGCGTGGAGCCTGCATGGGATTCCCGCTCTCTCTGCCCCTCCCTGTGCACGGGCCCTCTCTCTCTCTATATATATATGTAAATAGAAAATAAGGAGAATCTCCTACATTTTAAATCTGAAAAAGCAAAAACAAGCATATAAATATAAACCTCTAACGATTTAAAAAAAAATTCGAAGAGACTCTTCTGGACTCCATCCACTGATTAAACACAAACATTTTATGTTGTTTAAATTCTTACCACTTGCCATTATTACTTTGGAAAACAAGAAAAAAGTGAAAATCTATTTGTAACTTCACCCACAGTGCCTCTATTTCCAGTGAATAACACGTGATATTTTTACTCATGCCACAGAAGCAGCAAACTTTCTTCAAGTGTTACTTACTTCTCACTAAGGTTGACCTTGACTGAGGAGGCTGAGGGTGGGAAGGCGGGCTTCAGTCCTATGTTTGGAGCAGACACGCTCGGCATCGGTGTGCTTTCCAGGGCAGGCTTAAAACCCGAGGATCCAAAGGAGAACGAGGCAGCGGACGGCGTCATGGGAGAGGCTACAGGGGTGGGAGCTAGGGAGGCTTGAGGAGGAGGAGCAAAAGAGAAGGTGGATGCGCCCGAGCCACTGGCATATGGAGGGGGCTCGCCTGGGACAGAAGCAGATGACTTCAAGGAGGAAGAACCGAAGGAGAACAGTGCAGGAGCTCCAACAGCAGAAGGCAAAGAGAAGGTGGAGGGGGGAGCAGCCAGCGACGAAGGTGGACCAGGGACGGGTGCCGCAGGTGCTGGTGCGTCGAGCTTCTGTGGGGCTTGAGAGGAGGTTGGGGTAGTGGGAGTACTCCCTGCAGTGAACAAAATGGAGAAAAAGGAAGGGAGAAGTTAGCATCGTAACAATGGAAGTCCACACAACAGAAAGCAAGTGGAAAAGGGCTCATGGTAGAACGAAGCCAGAATGAATGTTCAGTCCTAGTTCAAGAGGGGGAAAAAAGGGAGTGGGGTGGATGGTGGACTTGCCATAGCAAACTTTCCACATGGTAAGATGGACAGAACTTGGAAGGAAAAAGAAGACGGGGAAAGACGTTAGATTAATAGGACTTCACGGACAGGGGGGACAGAATGCATGTCTCAACGTTACAGTGAAAAACCATTTTGCAACATTTCACAGCAATCAGGAAAAAACTTTCATTCAGACCTCCACTTCATAATAGTCACTAAAACCAATTCCAGCTAAATTAAAGATGTCTACACATACGGAAGCACATGTATGCGTGCCTCTCAAAACAAAGGAGGCAAAAAGTGAGTCAAGTCACGAAGAGTCTAACAACTTGAAATTTAGAACCAAAAAAAAAAAAAAAAAGAAAATCACAAAAGGAAAAGATTAAGATTTGAGATTTGACTGAGTAAAAACGGTTACATAACTAAAAAAATCTGTAGTAAGTAACCATGTTTTGTATTTTCTCAAAAAGCTCATACAAATCAAAATAAAGAAATTTCAAAACCTTGATATAAGTTGAGAACCTAATTCGTAAAATAATACTTCAATCTGTCTAATCAAAGAAGTGCAAATTTAAATGACTGCACATTTTTATTGTTCTCTAAATTATCAAAATTTAAATATGTATAACCCCCTATGTTTGGAAGGGAAAAATGAACCTGAAACCTTTTACACCAGTACCTAATTTAGCATAACCTTTTAGAAAACACTTTACCATTGTATCTCAAAATCATAAAAAATAGATTTAGTAATCCCACTTCTAAGAATAAAGCCTACAAAAATAACCTAAGACATGATAAAGACATTTAATACAACCCAAATGGTAAAAGATGTTCAATGGAATAGTAAGCACTCTTAAATGAATCCCAAAGATTACTTAAGAACCTAGAAACAAAATTTAAATTAAAAGCCTGCACACCAATGATGTATACAACAGGATTACAACTATGAAGAAAGATGTTTATGAAAAAACACTAGAAGGGAAGGCAGGTTTAAATATTTTTCTATTTTCCAAACTTTCTATAAACATGTTAATTTGCCAAATTCAGTAACTCGATAAATAAATAAGAAAGCAATATTTTTTATCAATACATTTGTTATTGGGTCTTGATTCTTCCAAACTGTCTGAGCTGACTGATAATTTACCTTCATTATGTCAAAAGTAATGAAACACTTAGGATACAAGTATGAAAATATTTCCGAAAAAGAAGACCCCAGTAAATTGCCACTTTTATGGAAGTGTAAAAATGCAAGCAAATTTATTGTTAATACTTCTTTCACACAATAAATATGGAACCAGAGACAGCTAACTTCTTTAAAGACATGAACATAGAGATGTTCATCACTTCCACGCACATTCAAAAGACCAACGTGAAAAATATATGCCAGACCCGAAAGAAATCAAGAGGCACTTTCCTAACATATGAAAACCCCCGTGATCATTCACCCCAGCATCCATGGAGCTGTAGCATGGAAATGGGCAGAACCATTAACATCTCCTGGACCCATCGCCTAGGATTTAGCTACAGCTGGCAGGCTACTTTCTCCCCCTTCCAAGGCTCTCTTCCACTCATCTGAACATGGCTGCCTCCTCTGGACCAAGTGTGAAGGAAGAGGGGGCTTTCTCTAGGAGAGGTGAACAATAAAACTAGCCTCTGCCTGTGCTCAGGGGTTTGATGGGCTAGTAGCCCCCAACTTCATGGGGTGTACTTCTTGTGGACAGAGACAGACTGTGCAACTGAGTGTAGACAGTGCGTGGTACTCAGGAGCACTTAAAGAAAAAAACAACTCAAAGAGGATACACTGTAGATGATGAGATGCCCCAGCACAACGCTAATACAGACTATGCGCAGTCACCTGGTTTACTACTTGGGGTCACGCTGCCAAATGACAGGAGCCCAAGTGTCTTGGTGGCTCTATTTATGAACCACCCACTCTGCACTGGGAAGCAGCAAGAAAATAGTGTCAACCTTATCCAACCTGGCTAGTCAACATGCTTTTTCTTAGATAGAGAACTGGTTACACCACACATTTTTTCACCAGAGATAGTTATATAGTCACAGAATTCACAGAGAAATAGTGGTGAAATTTTAAAATATGGAACAATCCTCTTTTAAAAAGTTTTATATTTTGGGGGCACCTGGGTGGCTCAGTTGGTTGAGCAACTGCCTTCGGCTCAGGTCATGATCCTGGAGTCCCAGGATCAAGTCCTGCATTGGGCTCCCTGCTTGGCGGGGAGTCTGCTTCTCCCTCTGACCCTACCCCCTCTCATGCTCTCTCTCAAATAAATAAATAAAATCTTTAAAATATATATATGTGTATATATATATGTGTATATATATTTAAAAAAAAGTTTTATATTTTGTTCTCACAAATGATACACTGTCACTGTGAAAAATGTGAAAATACAAATTAGCGTCTGCATGTGTGCATTTATGTATATAAAGAATAGGCACCAAAATGTTGACTATGGCTACTGCTTGATGACTGATGGGCTCTTAAGTGATTTTTTATTTTCTAATTTTCCTCCAGTAAACATATACTACTTAAGCAATATTTTCAAAGAAGAGAAGGAAAAAAAACCTAAAGAAAATTAAATATAAACAAAATCTCCATGTTCCCACCACCCAGATATAACCACTATTTAGATTTTAACATCTACCTTTCTAGTATTCCCTAGGTATATATTTTTTTCTCATGAGAAAAGAATCATAAAGTATATAATACTTTCTCATGATATATTCCACTAGCACTTTGTCAACAAATGCAACATTTTTAAGTTACATGGCATTCACTGTATGCATGTGCATTCACTGTATGCACATATTTAACCAATCCCTCAGGACTGCACATGTCTCTAGGATTCAGACCATATAATACAGGGTGCTGTAACAGGATATTGTTGGTAGATCACCTGATGGGATCCATCTGGCTGGGCTTCATTTTCCCTAAAGGTTGGAGAATAAAGCTTGTGGGCAAGGGGATGCAAGAATGTGCATGTGTTCAAGGAAAAGTTGGTCCCTGCCTCTTTAAGACAGACTGGCCCGGTGAAAAGGACCACTATATGTCCCTACACAGTGTTCATCCTTGGCAACAGTCTGGAACAAACCCCTGGTATTCCCTCTGTGCCAGAGCAGGAAGAGACACGTACCTGACGACTTGGGTTGTCGCTCTCCTTCTAATGACAGCCGCTCTGGCGTCTTGATGAGGGACCTAACCCCAGGATTTTGATTGATCATATAAAATGGACAAAGCACACCATCTGTTGAAAGTAACATAAGAACTGGAGTGGGAGGAAGAGTCTTCTCATCATCTGTTAAAAAAAAGAAAGTGCAAGTGAAAAAACAGCCAAGTCATGAAGGGCTTGGGTGGGAAGGGAAAGACTGCCCTGAGCGAGAAGGGGTGTCGCAGACTGGCCCCAACAGTAGCTCAAGTCTGTTTGTTCCCATTCACACCCGAACAGCCTCTCGAGCATCAGCTCTTGAAAGAGAGCTCCTGCCATTATTGACTGCCACTGTCCTGCCGGGCCCCGCAGGGGAGCTCCAGCAGACTGCGGCAGCCATGACTGTCCCTAAACTCCCATGATTTTTTACGAGTGTCTCAGTGTTCAAGATGTTCCCCTGACCGAGACAGGCGTCTCTAGGAGGGGGCCGGTCTAGCAGAAAAGTGACGGACTACACACTTTGGAAAACACATGGAAGGACACAGAAAGGTGAGTCAAACTACTTTATATTCATTCACAGTTGAATCCTAACTTGTATTCTGTCAACTAAGATTTGAAGAGAATCAGAGTAAACGAGCTAAGGAGACCCAATGATCTGACCAGGGAAAGGACAGAAGGAGCTTAGCGGTGCTCGATGAGGACACCTCTCTACGCTGAAGCGCCGAAGAGCAGAGAACACGTGTTCCGCGGCACGTGTGCAGCTCTGCCACGATCCAGCAGGGAGAAGACACACTCAGAGCACATACTCAGGCCCGCTTTGGAAGCCAGGTGCCTGAGGTCCCCATTCTCTAACCCATGTCTTCACACCAAGCACTGCTATGCAGGACTGGGCCAGGCAGCTATTCCCGTGGGAGGCCACGGGGGAACTGGAGTGCTCAGAGAAACAGGGTGATGAGATCCCTGTTCTGGATTTCGCCCACATGCAAAAGCACGTACAGATACGCATGTACGCGCGCAGAGTTTGGCTTTTGTCTTATCAATGAATGTCCATCAAGTGAATCCAGTCTTGTCACAATGCACTCTGTATCACTCAAGTGGAAATGTGCCACCAGAAGTTAAAAGTGCCCCACAGAGTAGATCCTGTCACGAACACGCAGAACAGGATTTAAATATCAACCACCATTACAAAGAAGACCACTTCTGCACTGAGCTATGTCAGGCCATACTTACTGATGGTGATTTCCACTTGGTTAGTATAGTCGATGGCAACGCCCACGGGCAGCGAATCGTCACTCTTGTCAGTCACAGGCAATTCAGCTCGACTAGAATCCTCCAGAAGCCAAGATTCCCAATTAATCTGGAAAAAAGAAGATGAAAATGCTATGTTGGGGCGCCTGGGTGGCTCAGTTGGTTAAGCGACTGCCTTCGGCTCAGGTCATGATCCTGGAGTCCCGGGATCGAGTCCTGCATCGGGCTCTCTGCTCGGCAGGGAGTCTGCTTCTCCCTCTGACCCTCCTCCCTCTCATGCTCTCTGTCTCTTATTCTCTCTCTCTCAAATAAATAAATAAAATCTTAAAAAAAAAAAAAAAGAAAAGAAAATGCTATGTTGGTTAGAGCTTTGCATTGGTTCTCCCATTATTCAAACAGGAGAGAAGAAAAGACAAGTCACTTGGTTTAGATTTATGTATTGACTAGACTGAAATCTGGGAAGATGGTCTAAAAGCCATGAGCATCCTAGCAAGTGAGGGGTTAATTTTTCAGATTAACCTATGTATTCCTGGTATACCATGTCCCTGCCTTGTAAATAAATAATCACTATCATGAACACTTTCCAAGGAACCAGCCACCCCAACTAGGTAGATTCCTAAAAATGGTGGGTGAATCTTAATACCTGCACCAACCAGTTATTAGTTGCTCCTAGAAATGTGGGACTGGTACCAGGAACTCCAGTTGATTGCTACTGTGGTCTTCAGCAGTGTGGCTTATAAAGCTGGCCAGATGCCCTATGCTCACTTATCCATGGAGAGTTACCCTTAGTTCTTGTCTTCCCAGATCTTGGCATTTCTCACACGGGCCCCTCTTCCTGCCTTTGGGGTCCTTGAGAAACCACTAAGTTTCTTATGGTGTCACCATACGCAGTATCTCGTGACCTACTTTGTGAGAAGAGGAATGCCTTTTCCCCACCCTCGCCTTTAGCACACCTTCCCCCACTCCCACCCCCTGGCTGTTGTCATCTGGCTTGTCTTTTGCAAAATCAAAACTCGTACTGTTTACAAACCACTAAGTCCTTCCCATAAACTCCCCTTCTGCTTATGTCTATGCTTGAATGGGCTGTATGCCTGCCAATAAATGATTTCTGATTTTTTTTTTTTTAAAGATTTTGTTTATTTATTTGACAGAGAGAGACACAGCGAGAGAGGGAACACAAGCAGGGGGAGTGGGAGAGGGAGAAGCAAGCTTCCCGCGGAGCAGGGAGCCTGACGTGGGGCTTGATCCCAGGACCCTGGGGCCATGACCCAAGCTGAAGGCAGACGCCCAACAACTGAGCCACCCAGGCGCCCCCGGAGTCCCCCTTTAGGTAAATGTGAAGTAGGGACACAGCAGTGTGTGTGTATATATATACACACAGTTCTGAGCTGATTTTCCCCATGCCAGTTTTTTGTTTTTGTTTTTTTTTAAGATTTTATTTATTAGAGAGACACACAGCGAGAGAGGGAACACAAGCAGGGGGAGTGGGAGAGGGAGAAGCAGGCTTCCCGCCGAGCAGGGAGCCCGATGTGGGACTTGATCCCAGGACCCTGGGTTCATGACCTGAGCCGAAGGCAGACACTTAATGACTGAACCACCCAGGCACCACCAATGATTTTTGATTTTTAAAATCACTACATTTACGTAACTTTCAGTGTTAACCAAAACTGGGCAGCATGAATCAAAAGGGAATAATGCTCCATGAATAACAGAGAAAAAAGCAAAAAGCTGTTTAGGAAAGGGAACATAATCATACTCCATGACTTAGCTATGGTGTGAACAATAGTCACATTCACAATAATGTAAACAAAATTGACTTCAACTTTGAAAAACAATCTACAGACAAAATAAAAAAGACTTAATAATCACTACAGAACAGAATGTAAACAGTACGAGTTTAGATTTTGCAAAAGACAAGCCAGATGACAACAGCCATGGGGTGGGAGTGGGGGAAGGTGTGCTAAAGGTGAGGGTGGGGGAGAAGGCATTCCTCTTCTCACATAGTAGGTCACGAGATACTGCGTATGGTGACACCATAAGAAAATGAAGGTAAAAAATATTACTTACGGTTACAAAGGTAACCAACAGAAGAACCTACAATAGTGCTGTAAGCCGAGAGGAAGGATGAGAATTTAAGGGCCACATGTGAGCTATATCCTTACCTGCCACAACAGATGCTAAGGTCTAAAATCAATAATTGCTAACTAGTGATGAAGCACATTATTTTTTTTTTTTTTTTTAGAGGTGGGGAGAGAGGCAGAGGGAGAGAGACTCTTAAGCAGGCTCCATGCCCAGCACAGAGCCCGACACAGGGCTCTATCTCACAACCCTGAGATCAGGATGTGAGCCAAAATTAAGAGTCGGATGCTTAACCAACTGAGTCACCCAGGCGCCCTGAAGATTATTTAGAGATAAGGAGGTAATATTTAAAAGTAAAAATTTACAAGATAAAAAAGGTCCCCTGTAAACAGGGCTAGATAAGGATGGGGTAGGGCAGGGGTAATATTTTTTTCACTTATAAACCCTTTCTACTATTTGATTTTTTAGCCACATACATAAATTATCCAGATAAGATACAAAAATACAAGTATATTTTAAATGTGTCAGTACAGAAAATAGTTGTGCTCTTAGGAAATTGTTACTAAAGACAATCTAAGACTTCACATCAGACTGCTGAACGCTGGCCTGTGACCCCAAAGTGGCCCACCCTAGGTACTATGAGAGCCACACTTACAATGGACCACCTTGCCACCCAGAGAATGAAGGATAAATACTGAATGGTTGGCGAAGCCTAAGTCTCTGTGTGTGGGGCGTACACATTTTTAAATTCAAGGCAGAGTTTTAAGAAGAAAAGTTTCCTAGGGTGCCTGGGTGGTGCAGTCAGTTACACGCCTGACCCTCAGTTTCGGCTCAGGTCATGATCTTGGGATCGAGCCCTGCATAGGGCTCTGCACTCAGTGCAGAGTCTGCCTGAGTTTCTTTCTCTCTCTCCCTCTGTCCCTCCCCCCTGCACCTGCACACTCTCTAAGATAAATAAATAAATCTTAAAAAAAAAAAACAAAAAACGGGGGACGCCTGGGCATGGCTCAGTAGGTTGGGCGTCTGCCTTCGGCTCAGATCATGATCCCGGGGTCCTGGGAGCAAGTCCCACATCAGGCTCCCTGCTCGGCGGGGAGTATGCTTCTCCCTCTGCTTGTGTTCTCTCACTCTATGACAAATAAATAAATAAAATCTTAAAAAAAAAAAAAAAGAAGGAAGAAAAATTTCCCTTTCACCACATCCTTCTATGGTCACTCTGTATAACCTACCTTGGTTTAGGATGGCTTACCACAATCACCTCAGCCCAATTCCTCTCTGCAAGGAGGACAAAATGCCAGAAAGAAGGTGGGTGCTTACACACACAGGTGCTTTTAGCTCTCTGGTGGTTTTTCAAAGTGAAACAAAGTATTGCTGGTGAGTCACAATTTGGTACGATCTGCATGTTTCTCTCCATTAATCAAGGATGGGTTAGAGGTGACTGAACAGAAGGGGCAGGTTCAAGCAACAGGAAGAAAATAAAGATGGTAAAACAGAACAAGGCAGAAAAACCCTCCTACACACCCAGGTGTGCTCCTGTGGGAAGCTGATTATATCATATGTTTCCACAGATCGTGAGTGGATCGGGAAAGGACAGGGCTTTATGACAGTGGAGGCGCTGCTGAGTCTGAAACCCGTATCTGTCCAGGGCAATATCCAAAGCACCTGGCCAAGGCACTCTGTCACGTCAGCCAAGTGTCAGCTTTGCTCTCACCCAGAAATTCATCCAAAGGGACGTGGCTTCATCTAAACGTTCTCCACATAGTTAACTCCCTCTAGAATCTTTCTCAGAAAAGTATCCCATGGAAGTGACCAAAGAGTGAAATTTACCTGATCTGTCTGTCGAGCAAGGATACTGACTTCTGTCGAAGCCGCAGATGCTGCCAGCACTAAATCCCTTCAAGGAAGAAAAGTGGAAGACGGTTAAATTGAAACGTAGCAACAGCTCTAACCAGACTTGAGCCTGCGGTGGCATCCATGAGGACTTCTCGAGATGTCAAGGAAGAAGGTGAGGTTTTCTTCATGGCTGAAGAAAGGTGAGAAGATTTTAGATGTAAAGCTTAACTTCTTAGTTCATACGATAAAGCCCTGACGAAGGTCAGAGACACAACAAAATCAAGTCGGAATTTCCAATAAATCTACTGCCCTGTAAACAGAATAATCTGGTGAATTTTCAGAAAAAAAGCTTTGTTTTAAGCTATCTATCTTTCAAGGGGAAGCTTCTGCTCTCAGAGGAAAACTTTCAATACAGTCCTTAAATATCAGTATTGTAAGTCTTCACGGGTGTTACTGAGAAAACAGGGTTTTTAAGATTAAGTATTCAATCTGGATAATTTAAGATTGGGGAAACGAAGTAGTCAGAGAGGCGAATTATCCAGCATCAGAGCAAAATATGTTCAAGGGCATCTCAATTCTCCGTTTTCCTTTCCTCCAGAAAAGAATTTCAGGAGTGCCTGAGTGGCTCAGTCGGCTGGGCGTCTGCCTTCGGCTCAGGTCATGATCCTGGGGTCCTGGGATTGAGGCCCACGTCGGGCTCCCTGCTCAGCAGAGAGCCTGCTTCTCCCTCTCCCTCTGCTCCCGTGCTTCTGCTCTCTCGCTTGCTCTATCTCAAATAAACAAATAAAATCTTTAAAAAAAGAAAAGAAAAGGAAAGAATCTCGAAGTTGGAACAGAGCGATGCAGGTGGGACCCGACAGAGAGGAGTCCCTGCTGGGTTCTCAGCTCACCATTCTTCGATGTAACTGAGGTAGTAATGGTGCTGCCTCTCTGTGCAGCTGCCATAGCAGGGCTCCATAAAGTTCACAAAGATCTCTGGGTGCTTTTCTTCTTTCTTCTACAATAAACAAAAGGAGAAAAAAAAAATCCCACGTGCAATTTTTCTTTAATTCTATACAGTTAAGGATCTCGAAAAAGAAAACCACTTATGTTTTATGAGAAAATTCACTCAAAAATCTATGTCCAAATATACAGACACGCTAGAAAGGCAGAGTTGAGCAGTTGGGCAATGTGAATGGTGACCACTAACCAAACTGGATTCAAACTGCCTTGTCACTTCCTGGCCGTGGGACAAGCATGGATAGACTGCTCGGCCTGTCTGATACTGTTTTCTCATGTCTGTACTGGGCCTGCTGAACTTACTCCACAGGCTGCCTTAAGTGTGGAACAAAATTATACCTATAAAGCTTCTAGCCCAGGACATGGAACCTAAGAAAGAGTCCATAAACGCCAGAGCTGATATTATCCCTGGGAATAGAAAATCTTAATGAGCTCTTGAAATAAGGACCTTAATAAACATATTTTTAAAATTAAACATTATCAGGAACCCAAAACTTAATAAAAACAAGGCCCTTTTCTACATATCACTGGCAAAGATTAAAAATGCTATCACTACATCTTGACACACTCGTGGGGCAACTGGGATCCCCACTGGTGGGAGATGTATAAACGGCTACAACTTTTCTAAAAGACACTTTGGCAACGTTTTCAAAAGCTTAGTATATACCACTCAACCAAACTCATTTCTAGGTATTTATCTTAAAAAATAAACATAGTCACATAAAAGGCACATAAAAGAACGCATCATGGTATTCCTTAGAACAGGAGAAAACTGAAAACAACTTCAGCATCCAACAGTGAAAGAGCTAAATAAATTATCTGTCCAAAAAGCCACACACAGATTGTATTCACTGACTTAGAAAGATGCTTACTATTTACCACGAAGTTGCAAGACAGAATAACTCATGCAACTCCCACTTTTGTTACGTTTAGACATTTATGTATTTTTAAACTTTTTTTGGACTTTGAAAGCCAGTACTGATTTGAAAACATAAGCTCTACCTCGTTTGTTTTTTTTAAATGCCACTGCAATTGAGTGACATTTTGTAGATCCTGTTATTAACGTTCTTCCATGTTTTCAAAATGACTTACTCCCTTCGGTCATTCCACCCTCTGCTCAAATGGCTCCTCCTCAGAGGCCTTCCTTGAGCACCAATCCACACTGCACCTCTGTCATCATCTGCTCCATACCCTTCACTGTTCCCTCCATCGCCCTTGTCATTCCTTGATCTACGCTTATGTACTGACTAGCACATTCATCAGAATGTCCGATCCACAAAAATAAGGACTCTGCCTCAGTCACCACTGTATGCTCAGCTTTAAAGCAGTGCCTGGCACACTGCAGGCATCTGAAAAACATCTAATCAATATAAATATGTGAAAGAATTGTAAAAATCACAGTGTTTAACTGCTTTTCTAAAACCACTTTATCAGATTAACAGCTACCAGGGCTCCCAGTTTACGGTGTAAGCAAAAGCAACTTTTAGAGCTTTTTTCACCTTACGACTAACCAGGAGAATATGCTGTAAGCAGACACCATAATTTTGGCCCCCAGGCCCATGGTGCAGCATTAAAGTTTTACACTTGAAGTTGTACCATCCCTGCCAGCAAAAAAAGGAAACTAAAGCCAAAGCCTTGAACTTTATTAGAGGACCTCTATGATTCTCAAAGGACAAGGATGTCCCTTTCATACACATACCGGGAGGAGAGCCATCACCACATCTGGAGAAGTTTCCAAGGTCCCATCTGCAGCAGCATATACGATTGTGAAGACGTAAGTACCAATCCACAGCACATCCAGAACTGAAATACATAAACTCTAATAAAGCATCTTATGTTTGGAACAGCTCCTGTATGTTAAAAAATTAACAACTCATGGATAAAAAAATCAGAGTGCGATAGTTTTAACTAAGGTCCAGATTTCACTGGCTAAATATAATTCACAAACACAAAGAATTCAAGAAGCCCAAATTCATCCCAAAGTGGTATTTTTTTTTTCTGGCAGATTGTAAGGAGGGCAAATTTTTAAAGAATTCTAATAAAATATCAGGATCCATTTACTGTTATTTACCACGAGACACAGGTGTGTCTACCAGAGCATTATTGTTACGCCAACTTAATTAGCTAACTGTAATAATGGGAGTATTCATGCAGGAGGCACTAACAATTTCCTGAGCGGGCATGTAGCTGCATTACATGATGTGAAATTTCTGTAATACTGTCACCTCATTAGAGGTCGACCCAGTAAGAAAAGCAGATGGGTTACCTCTGACAGGATGATCTGACTCATAGAACGGCGGACAAGGAATAACTTTTTTTTCCTGCAAAGTCTGAAAGAGATTTGGGGGTGGGGAGGGGGGAGAGTGTCAAATGAAATAAACCTAAACCATTGAAACTCTGTCAAATCCAGTATGTTCCCTCCAGAAATCACTGTGTTTCATCTTCCCAGCCAGGAGAGACTGAACGCAGGGCAGACTGAATGACTGCCTCCAGGATCCCGTCCTATTGAAATCTCCCACAAATGTGTTCAGGCGTAGAGAGAGGATGCTCAAGGCGATGCCACGTACACCAGCAAAGCCACACACGCTGACACGGACAGCCACCAATAACGGAAGACAGAAGTAAGTTACGGTACATTCACACAGTGGATTACTCTGCAGCCATTCAAAAGAATGAAGTGGTTTCATATATGATATGTTGGAAAAAAGACCCGGATAAAGTATTATGTTTAAGACAAAAAAGGCAAAGAGCAAACCAATAAAATTAAGCCAATTATCTTTTTACAGGCTAACGCCCTAAAAGAATATGTACCAAATTTCATATAACAACTTTCTGCAATAACAAGAAATAAAACCTTAACCTCAAACCCACACCACTACATTCCGGGCTTTACACCCACAGAGAACAGTCTCTCGAGGAGAAATGCATAGCAACATAGGCCTTGGTATTGCCTGTGGACCCCTCCTTCCCATAGAGGCTTGACTGAACATGTATGCATCCTTTGTCAATTTATACTGAAGAATATCTATGAATATCATCTCAGGAAGACCACAGGGAGAGGATGACAGAGTGACAGGGGCATCCATTGTCTTTGGTGCCTATAGTTGGAGAAATTGAAGCTTTGAGATGGATTCAGCTAGCAGACAAATAATGCTATGCTTTAACTGTTTTTTTTCCCTTAAAGTTTGTTTGTTTGTTTGTTTGTTTGTTTATCTGACAGAGAGAGAGAGAGAGAGAGAGAGAGACAGCAAGAGAGGGAACACAAGCAGGGGGAGTGAGAGAGGGAGAAGCAGGCTTCCCGCGGAGCAGGGAGCCTGATGCGGGGCTTGATCCCAGGACCCTGGGATCATGACCTGAGCCAAAGGCAGACGCTTAACGACTGAGCCACCTAGGCGCCCCTGCTTCAACTGTTTTGATGGAATGTTTTTATGGAATGGATTGGGAATACAAAGTTAGAGAACACTGTGTAAAGTATGACCAGTGTGTACAGTAGACATGTAATGCATCTATACACAGACTATTTGTATAAGCATCCAGAGAAGTCTGGAGGCTACCACTAAATAAAACACAGAGCATGCCTCTGGAAGGACTATGGGATAGAAAGGAAGAGTTCCACCCTTTCCTGCATTCACTTGTTTACTGATGAATTTGTTTCAGTGATCATAAATTACATTTTAACAGAAAAAACATCAATGAGCCCCCAAACCGTCCCAAAAAAACAGTGGGTAACTTAAGAAAAGGGCTGAAGTCCAAGGCAAGACTCACGGGAAGATACTGGACCACAGTTCCATTCTGCTTCCCCACTGCCAGCTGCTTTCCTTTGGGGCTCCAGCACACTGAGCAAAGAAGAAAATGCTGCCAATTAAGCACTGAAGAGAATGGAGCAAACCAATGAGGTCTGTACTGAAACAGCCATATAATCACCACTTCCTGTTCCTCTGTCAGTCCATGGAAGACAGTAGGATCATCCTTATTTGGCAAAATTAAAAAAAAAAAATCATTTTGATGATACAAACCAATTACGACTTATCACTGGACCATTAAATCGACTTCTAAAAATGTTTTTTCAATGAAGTATCATCCAGAAAGCTGGAAAGTACAGAAAACTCTATAGTCTTTAAAGGAGAACAGAGGTTTTCAAGTATCAAGAAATCATTCTCTTACTCATATTCGATATTTGTAATGCTTTTCCCATGATGGTACAAATGACTTTCAGTGTACCATCCACTGCCCTTGTGGATCCAGAAACAATCATTCTCAAAAACATATTTCTAAACCCGCTATACCGAAATATTTTGTTCTCCAGAAAACCCACACACATTCAAGTTAAATCATGTCTGCTGTTTGGCTTCAAACATTCACTATGGAAATAAAGAATACTCTCCACTTCTACCAGACAACTACAGATAGAACAAAAAACCCCATTTGCATTTATTTCCAGAAATTAATTTTTAAGTAGATTACCATTACCATATGTTATGGAGTGAAAGCCTTATTACCCACCAGATGTTACTGCCACTGTGGAAGGGAGAGTCGCACACACTTTCACTGTTTCTGTGATTTGTAGGACAGCAATGCTGCCATCGGCCAGACAAACTGCCATCATGGAGGGAACAGTGGGGTTCCACTTCATATCGATCACCATGCCTCCTGCATCTTTCAAAAGCTTATGATAGGCAAATGGGCGTTTTTGCTGTTTAGCCTTTTAAAACAAATGCCCAGAAGCAAAAATAAATTGATAAATTAATAAATACATATACATTTAATAGTCAAAAAAATATCGAATATGCAAGTTTTCTCAAATTATAGTTCACTTTTCTCCATGACGATGACCAAAAAAAAAAAAAAAATGAGCTCTACACAACAATTTATTTGTTACAGACTATTTCAACACAACTTTGAAAAATGGCAGGCAATTATTCTAGCACGCTGGAGGGACTCCCAACCAGGGGAATATACAAATGCAAAATAATCAGTAAAGAGCCAATACAAGATTAAAATCTTGGCTCTGCTTCTTAATAGTGTTGGGTCCTTGGATGTTTAAATTCTTTGGGCCTGTCTCTCCATCTATAAAATGAAGACAAGAGCACCTATTTTGTGAGGCCATGGTACATACAAATGAGGACATATAAAGCACAGGGCCTGGCACACAGTCAGTATAAATACTCAAATTATTGACAATTTTCATTATGAAACTGCTTGGAATGGAAGAACACTAGCAGAAGAGGTCAGAGACCCAGGATGTAGGAATTTCTGACATTACTGTTAACTCTACAGCCTTGGGCAAGCCACCTAAGGCTCCCTGGGCTTTGGCTGTCTCATTTGCAAATGAGAAAAAACACCTTGGGGCAATGTTATGAAATAATTTCTTGAAGTCCCTTCTATCTCAAAGATCTATGATCCTACAGTTAAGGACTTTCTTTAAACCCATACTTTAATCTAAAAAATGATTCCAAGGGTCAACCCAGGAAATTCTAGGTTATGATTCAATACCAGAAAATCTTTTCAGGTCTCATGCTGACATTACAGTTTGCCAGTAGCTTACCTCATTTGAAAATGTGCGAACATCAAAAAAAGCAATAATGGAACCATATTCACTGGACATCATGCACACGGAGAGTGTGAGGTTATCACAGCTCAGGGCCAGGTGATGTATCGGGAATTTCATAGGAACCAGCAAGCTTTGAACTTTATCAACTAAGAAAACATAAGAAAAGACAAAGCAGAAGCATAAGCCACAAGCCCTGTATCCAGGTCTATGTGAAACAATTTTCATATCTACATAAACATACAAGCATACTTTGATACCTGGTCATGCAGATAAATCTTAGCTTTCTTACAGATATAGAGTGATGCATTAAATTTCCCAGACTCTTCCTCATAAGACCTAGGGAAACTGTGGCTGTTGCCATTGTTAAAAATAATACCCTATACCCATATTTTTGCAACAATGCTTCCTATTTGTTTGGATGGTACTACTGTGCGAACTAAAATGCCATGCAAATTAGAGATCCAGAACCTAGGTTCAACTGAGCAAAAATAAAAGCATGGTAGAATGGTCAATTCTTCTTCCTTCTGAGCTCAGAGGAACAACTCACCAAAAGGACCAAAGAGAACAAACAGAAAGCCTTCCAGCATCCTACCTGGAACTTACTCTTCTTGGGGATCAACTTGAAGACTAACAGCAGTTTTAATTTATATACTAGAATGATTTCTTGGGAAAGACACTACATTAGCACTTTGCTACATTCCTCTCTCTACTGTGCAACAAAACTAAGTAACTTACCTATCTTATTGGGATCATCACCAGGTTTATTTTGAATCAGAAGATTTTTGGTAGGAAAAATCTGCAACCCACTGGCTCCACCAGCAAAGACCAGGCCATACTTGTTGGACACGGCAAGCAGACTCGAGCGTTCCTTGGGCAACTCCTCAGGTGAGTCAAAGATTCTCACCTTCTTCAGTGCTCTAAACTGAAAATCCTGTTGTTGAGGGAAGAAACCAAGATCAATTCAGGGAAAAGAGGAGATTAAATCATGTCTGTCATTATATTCCAATAGACCTAATTCCAGTACAACAGAAATAAATATTACCCTGAGGTCAAGGGCTGTGTGGCTCAGTGTTTTTAAGCTTCCTGTGCATACTGTGGTACCTAGCATAGGGCTTATTAATGTTTACTGAATGAGACAAAGTTTTAAAAATTCTTTCATGAAGCCTTCCTTAACTAATCCAGTTCACACTGATCTTTTCCTTTTCTGAACTCCTAGTTTATTGTCCTAACCACCACACACGCTGAACTTCAATTCATAATCTTGTCCTATTTCATGGTATGTATTGTCTCATGACCCAGAGTGGTGCTTAATAACTGTTGTTAAATATTGAAAGCAACAGGACGCCTGAGTGGCTCAGTCGTTAGGCGTCTGCCTTCAACTCAGGTCATGATCCCAGGGTCCGGGGATCGAGCCCTGCATGGGGCTCCCTGCTCAGTGGGAAGTCTGCTTCTCCCTCTGCCTGTCACTCCTCCTGCTTGTGCTTGCTCTCTCTCTCTCTCCCTCTCTCTCTGAAAAATAAATAAATAAATTTTTTTTTCTTTTTCTTTTTTTTTTTTAAAGATTTTATTTATTTATTCATGAGAGACAGAGAGAGAGAGAGAAGCAAAGGGAGAAGCAGGCTCCCAAGGAGCATGGATCCCAATGCGGGACTCGATCCCAGGACCCCGGGATCATGACCTGAGCCGAAGGCAGATGCTTAACCATCTGAGCCACCCAGGCGCCCATAAATAAATAAAATCTTAAAAATATATACATATTTTGAAAGCATCACCGTACTACAGTTAGTCTGAACTTCCAGTGCAGTACTCAACAACAAAAAATACACACACACACACACACAGAAATAATGACCACAGAATAACCAAATCCCAAGAACTGACTTAACTGCATTAACTACTAAACAAAATTCCATCACAGAAAAGGACAGGTATGGTCAATCTCTTAACATTCAAGACCTGTAAACATACCTAGATGCTATGAGGACATCTAAGCCCAAGTCCAAAGCCCTAGGCTATAAGGCCAGGCATGGCTTGATGTGTCCACCTCTGCAGCCTCACCTCACAACTCTGCTTTCCTCCCACAAGTGTGCCATTACCTCTGCAGCCCCCAGGGCCACCTCCAACCCAGACCTGTTTCATTTCCGTTTCATTCAGTCTTCATGCTCCTTAGCACTTCAGGGCCTAGGAGCCTTCCCCAACCTCCTGCCAACACCTGACTCACCCAGTCTTCCATGAATATATCGATACGCTTTCAAGGACAATTTCAGTGTGTACCACCTCTTGGTAAGAATTCCCTAAGTTGGGGCGCCTGGGTGGCTCAGTCATTAAGCGTGTTAAGCATCTGCCTTCGGCTCGGGTCATGATCCCGGGGTCCTGGGGTCAGCCCCGCATCGGGCTCCCTGCTCTGCCGGGGGCCTGCTTCTCCCGCTCCCACTCCCCCTGCTTGTGTTCCCTCTCTTGCTGTGTCTCTCTCTGTCAAATAAATAAATAAAATCTAAAAAAAAAAAAAAATTCCCTAAGTTTACCAATCACTATATTAAACTGTACCATATATGGCTGATTTTATTCTCCAATTCCAAATCTATCTTAAGTCAAGGTTTCAGTAAAAGGAATGTGAATCCCCTTTTGCTTACATTCCCAAAGGGTAAAAGTCAAAGACAGCCTTTCTCAGCCTTCATTTTTGTACACTTGTGGTGTTTTGTACAGGATCCCTAATACACCCCACATAATAATTCCCTTAGATTTGGTGTTTTACACATAGGTGTTAAAAGATGAACTGAAATACTCTCTTCTAAATTCCAAATGAGTAGGGTGACCAGAAACCCACAGCATTCCAGATGAAAACACACAGGAGCAGAATGAAATGTTCAGTTCTTTTGTAATTCTCATCCTGATATTCCTAAATATCCTGTTTGGGTCATGGACACAGAGGTGTGGAGAGCCAATGGGATGCACGGGCACAGGAAAGCTCTCTTTCTGCTATAATCAGTAACTCAAAGGGAGATTGTCATCTTCCAAGTCTGTGGTTCTGAACCCTTTTTTTTCCTTTCTGCCCCAGCATACCCGAGGAATTGGCACACTCTCATTGGGTGGCTCACCACTCCCCCCGCCCCCGCCCCGTCATTCTCGACAAGGAAGAATCACTATAAACATGGGACGGATTACTACTCAGTCAACGCATTTCAGTGACGGGTTCAATCGCCTAAAAGCTTCCCGCAACTCACTCATAACCGTCATTTGGATCACCTGCCCCTCTCTTCTGTTTCCTGACTTTACCCCGATTTCCAGTACCAAGATAGTCCTCCTATTCCATTCGACCAAAGGTTTTGTAGAACAGGTGATGAACCCTGGCTCTGCGTTAGGCAAGCCTGGACCCTTTACAGAGGTAGTACAGTGAGAGTGTACAAGAGAGGGTCTTAAAAAAACCACCACCTGGATTTCAGCCCCTTGATCAAATGTGACTTTGGGTAAGCTACTTCCCCAGCCTCACTGCGCTCCTCTATTAACCACGACTCACAGGGCCGCTGGCACACAGTGAGCGCTCAATAAACGGTAATTATTACCGCGACTCCGACCACCACATGAAAGTAACTAGGGAAACTCAAGCGGCGCGCACAAGACCGAGAGGGGACGGAGAAACTGCATTCGGCGGGGCTACGGTGCCCGCGGCACGGCAGAGTAGGCCAGGACGCGCCGGCGAGAACTCTGAACGCGGCAAACTGTTCGAGCAGGAGGCGGGAAGCGGGACAGCCGGCCCCCGCGCTGCGCCGTTCAGCGGGGCTCCAAGGCAACGCCGGGACTAAGGAAGGGAGGGAGGCCCCGGCCAGTCTCTGACCTTCATCTCCCGCTCGGGGATCATGGCATCCATCTCGTCTCCCATCGCGCCACCCTCAGCTGGTCGAAGCAGCCGCCGCTGCCGCCTGCGGCCTTGCCCACACAGCCCAGGCCGCTCCGAGGCCCACTTCCTTCCCTCACCGCGGGCAGCGCGCAGCAGACTCCGCGTTTCCGGCGCGCTTTGGTGATGTCACGCGCCCGGGACCGCCGCGTAGTCGGAGGAGGGCGAGCGACCAGCTGAAGTCGCGCGCTCTCCTAGCCACCGCTTCCCTTTGGCCGGGTAGGGGGCGTGGCCCCGGGCCGATGCGCCTGCGCCGTGAAGCGCCCAAGGCCCGCCCCCGGCGTCGCCGCTAGAGCGGGCTGGAGGCGTGTCGGGGTGTGTGGTTGGTTGCGCGGCGCCCGTTCGATCGCTCTGCGCTCCTTGTGGCGCTGAAACCCCGCAGGAACAGTGGGGTGTACGTGCTTATTAACAGTCCCCGAATGAGAGGAGTTAGGAACCTGACAAACATCTCCAGGGGGCCGCTCTTAAGAGAGGCTTTGGAGGGACGCCTGGGTGGCTCAGTCGGTTAAGCGTCTGCCTTCGGCTCAGGTCATGATCCCAGGGTCCTGGGATCGAGTCCCGCATCGGGCTCCCCCTGCCTCTGTCTCTCTGTCTCTCATGAATAAATAAATAAAATCTTAAAAAAAAAAAAAAAGAGAGGCTTTGGAGGGGAGCGAGGAGGAACAGAGGTTCTGAAAGTGGGTGGGTGGGGCCTCCGAGGACTCTTCGGCTCTAAGCGCGAAGGCTCAAGGGGCAGGGCGAAGGGTACCAACATCCCTGCTGACGTGGGCTCCCTCCTTGGACCCTGAGATCATGATCTGAGATAAAGGCAGACGCTTAACCACCCAGGCGCCCCCGTTTCTCATTTTTTAAATAAGGATAACATAATAGAACCAGCCTCATAGGGCTATTGTAAGGAGTAAATCAAGTCCAGTATTTAACAGAGCCTGGCACACAGGACACATTCATTAGAGCTGTTACTATATCAGCTAGCTTTTATGAATTTGCTGAGTCTAGGAACTGTCCCCAAAATACACAAGTCAAGACATTGATAAGTTTGTTTTATTTCTAGTCTGTAGAGATGATATCTGGCGTGCCACACACACACACGCACGCACACGCACACTTATCCACCTGAACGTGCCCGGCAAACTCCTTCCTTTTGAGTCACAGGGACAAAGCCATACTTGGCAGTCCCCGAGTTGCTGGTTACATTAGTTAGATTTGGTCTTTCAGAAAGAAGACAGCTGAAGTTCTAAGAAGCTGAGCCCTTAGCCAGAGAAGTAAGTCCCAGAGCCAATAGCCACAAACTAAAATACACGCAGACCACTCCCCCTTTCCAGGGACCACTTTTGAGCCCCTCTGCTGCCAGGAACTGAGTTCTAGTAAATGGTGGGGGGACTGGTGGTGTTTCCCAGGACACCCCCCCTTCCAATGAGAGAACTCTCTTTCCTGCCCTTTCCAGAAGCTGGGGACACACCCACTTGTCCACCTCCCTTAAAGGACGCTTCCTACAGTCTTGTAAACTGTGAAACCTGTTGAAATAAGCCTGGTTGCTTCTGCCCTCCTGAGTGAAGAACAGGTACACTGACTATAATGGGTAGTTAAAGAAGGTATTACCCTGCTCAAAGGTCTCAGCCTGTCCCAGAGAAGAGAGGCCAGTAGTAAGGGGTGGGGGGCAGGCAGTTCATCTAATGATCTGGCGCCGGGGCAGGGGGGAAGGAAGAGGAGGTGCTGGGGTGAGATTTTACATTTACAGGAGAACTGTTTTGCTGGGGTTTAAACTTCAACTAGGCTTGTGCATTTGAAGCTGCTCCTTAAGCTGAAGATCAGCCAGTCATGGCCAAATAATCTTGTTCCTGAACTGGTTGAGACCAGTGGATTAACCCAACCTCAGCAATTCCCCATGCCCTACCTGCTCCATTCCCTCAAGCTGCTGCAAGCGAGCTCCTTAGGTCCTTGATTATGGGTCACTAAAGAACCACAGGCAGCCCACACGGACTCCCACCTCCAACAGCAACCTGACGTTTCCACTTAACGTTTGGCGAGGGCTTCTCCAAGACTCTTGCTCAGTCTTGGGCCCAGGATTGCAGTGCAGTCACCCTACAGTCCCCTCTTTCTTAACATTCATCTCACTGATCATTGTCTGGTTCTGACTTCCCCACTAGACTAAATTCCACGAGTCTGTCCATTTTACTATCTGGTTCTTAGCTCTTGGCCCATAGCAGGTGCTTAATAAATAGATTCAATGGATGAGTGCATCTAAGTCCTGAGTGGGCAGGGTAAGGGACTCCAGAACACAGATGGGGTCAAGGCTGGGGTCCCTGCTCAGCCAAGATGGGGCTGAGTGGGACACCTTCCTGCTTGAGTTCTGAGAAGCGGCTTGGCGGAGAAGCTCTAGGGAAGGCAGAACTGCAGAAGCAGCCAGGCCCTTACCCAAAACCCCTGGTGCTGACATGGAGGCACTGGGAAGGGTGAGTCCTGGCCCAGGGCCTTCCCCAAGGACTGACCTGGGAGATTGCCCCTCCCCACTCCTTCTCTCATTTTCATCACTGAGACAGCCCAGAGCAGCAATGAGGACGGGCATGGTATCTGAACAGCTGGGTTCCAGTCCAGACTTCCATCTCCCGATTAACCCCTTGGCAAGGCGCTTAATCCCTGTGAGCACCAGTTTTCCCACCTGTGAAATGAGAGGACCGGTCTAGCTAACCTACAGAGTGGATCAGGGCTCTCAAATCTTGGGAGTCCATCATAAGGGACCCCAATCCACTCCCCAAGCTCAAGGTTTTGGGTGATTGGAAATGGAGATTAGGGGTTGAGGGCAAGGCACATGTCAGGACAAAGTGGGGGGACTTAAAGCTTATAATAGGTGGTCAATAAATATCCACTGAATGACTGAGTGAGTGAATGAATGAATGAATGAATGGAGTAAGATGGCAAGGCAAATAGGGGGAGCACAGTCAGGTTTCAAGCAGATTGGGGTCAGAAAGGCCACCTTCTGTTTCTCAGCTCTTGGCTTATTAGTGGTGCTGACTGTTTGCCATGAGCATTCTATTCCTCCTTCTCCTATCCTGTTGTCCTCAGCATCCTCCCCAAAAGGTGGCACCAGACCGAACAGACACTGCTCCCAAGGCCCCTCGCCTCCCTTCTACTCCCAAAGCCCTTTGCTTCCCCCCGCAAAGGACATGGGGGCTGCACTTTCCCTCCAAGCTGCCTGTAAAGGTGTGGCTGCGGGGAAGGCCAGAGGATTCCTTCTGGAACCTTCTTAAAGGGCTCAGATCACCAAGCCCCTCTCCGTCTCTCCTTCTGTCACCTCCCTGAGGATGAGAAGTGTGGACTGGGGGAGGAGGTCAGCGGGGGAGGTGGGACACTGAGTGGTCATGCCCTAGACGACTCAAGAGCAGGGAACCACAGAGCTGTCTGAGGAAAGCCTGGTTCCCACTCCAGGGTCTTCTGCGAGTGGGCTGTGGTCCTCACCAGGGCCAGGCCAGCAAGCCTGGACTTAGCTCAGGGACCCTGGAAGGACAGACTATGCCAGCTCTAAGCATGAGGATCCCAGTCTTCCAGTCTCCCTGTCCAGGCTGCCCCCTCCTGGTTTTGGTTTGATGTCAGCCCTTCTGCAAAGGGAAGGCGGAAGGAGGGGAGATGAGAGGGAGGGTCCCCAAGGCTCAGAATTCCCTGGCCTAGAGCCCCTTTAAGGCAGGTAATTTGTGCTTTACAAAGAGATCACTGATTTTGCTGGTTGAAAATGAAACAAACGCGTAATGACCAGACAAAACAAATAAGACAAATCACAATGAATCAAGAAGGGCAGCAAGATCAGGAGGGAGGAACGGGGGCAGGTCCAGACGGGGGTCCTCAGGGCAGGCTGGCAATGTCTCTCTCTGGAGGGGGGCCAACTGGCTTGGGGCTGCTCTCGTTGGCTTTTCCTTCAAACATCATGACTCTGGTTTGGAGACGGAGGTTAAAAAAAAAAAAAAAAAGGCAGGATTAGGATTCCTTCCCTCATCCAGGGAGAGATCATCTCAGCCCTCATGTCTGCAGGATCCTCAACCAAATGCCCTTGCATCCATTCTCCAGTGGGATCTTTTAAATGTGGAAGGGGCTGCTAGTCCCATTTCACAGAACAGAAAACTGAGGTACAAAGATCTCTATATTCTAGGTCATGGTTCTTCCCCTAACCACGTTGCCTGAAGGAGGCAGAGCTAGGCTGGGCCATGGCTCTGCTCAAAACCCCTTCAGATCTTCAAAAACTTCCCAAGGTTTTAAGAGTAACATCTGGGGCGCCTGGGCAGCTCAGTTGGTTAAGCGTCCGACTCTTGATTTCGGCTCAGGTTCTGATCTCAGGGTTATGAGATCAAGCCCCAAATCAGGTTCCACTCTGAGCATGGAGCCTGTTTAAGATTCTCTCTCTCTCTCTCTCTCCCTCTCCCTCACCTCCCCCCCACCTCTCAAAAAAAGTAGCATCTGGGAAGTAGAGGATAGGGGTTTGGATGGAGCCTCTGGAGGGAAACAGCCTGACTTGAATCCCAGCCCTATTATTTCCCAGCTGGTGACTCAAGAAAGACACTGGAGGGGCGCCTGGGTGGCTCAGTCGTTAAGCGTCTGCCTTCGGCTCAGGTCATGATCCCAGTGTCATGGGATCGAGCCCCGCATCGGGCTCCTTGCTCCACGGGAAGCCTGCTTCTCCCTCTCCCACTCCCCCTGCTTGTGTTCCTGCTCTCACTATCTCTCTCTGTCAAATAAATAAATAAAATTTGGGCACCTGGGTGGCTCAGTTGGTTAAGCGACTGCCTTCAGCTCAGGTCATGATCCTGGAGTCCCAGGATCGAGTCCCACATCGGGCTCCCTGCTCAGCGGGGAGTCTGCTTCTCCCTCTGACCCTCCTCCCTCTCATGCTCTCTGTCTCTCATTGTCTCTCTCGCAAATAAATAAAATCTTAAAAAAATAAAATAAAATAAAATAAAATAAATAAATAAAATCTTAAAAAAAAAAAAAAAGAAAGAAAGACACTGGACCCCACTGATGCTCAGTGTTTCCATCTGGAAGTAAGGATGCCCAAAGTGCCAACACCCTAGAGCTGTTTCAAGTACCCCACTCTGCCTGTAGGCACTCCTTGGGTGGGCTCTTTCTGTCCCCTGGCTATAAATCCCATCCAAAGGGCAATAGTCCACAAGCAGCTTACCTCCGAGCTGATCTGCACATCCAGGCCCTCCTTGACCTCTCCCCTTGGATGTCTAAAGGACACTTCTAACTTAATCCATCAAAAACTCAACTCCTAATTCTTGCCTTCCCCGCCTGCTCTTCCCCTAAAGCAAACAGCAACGTCACTCACCCCAAACAGATCAGGATCATCTGACTCCTTGTTGTCCTTTACACTCCGTATCTGACCACTGAAGCAAGCCTTCCAGCTCTGTCTCCCAAATCATTCCTGATTCCAGCAGCTTCTGCCTACCTTCACTGCCCCTTCTCCAGGCCGAGTGGCCTCATCTCTTGCCTGAACAGCCTCCCTGCTGCCACTCTCACCCCTGCCGCAGCCAGAGGCTTTTAAAAGTCAGCCCCTAGCTTAGAGTCGTCCAATGGCATTCCTCCACATTACTGCCAAATGTTAAGTGGGACCAGACGTACCAGGCCCCATGTCGCCTAGCCCAAGCCTGTCTCTGCAAACTCGTCCTTCACTCACTGCACTCACTGATGGCCAGTTACACTAGCTTCTGTGCTGTTCCTTTGAGCATACAAGCACAGTCTGCCTCAGGGCCTTTGCACTTGCTGCTTCCTCTGCCTGGAATGCTTTTCGCAGGATCTTTGCCGGGCTCATCTCTTTACATCTCCCTCCCTCAGGGCTCTGGTCAAGTCTTGCCTTCTCAATGAGCTCCTCGCTGCCCACTATCCCATCCCTCTCTGTTCCTCTTGTCCACTTTTTTTTCTTTGTACTACGCCATCGTAATCTGGCATTTTAGTTTTCTGGGTTTTTTATTTTGTTTTTGTCTGCCTCTTGCCATGAGGATGTAAGCTCCACAACGCCAGCAACTGATGTGTCCCCAGGCACCTAGAATAATTCCTGGTCCATAGTTGGTGCTCAATAAATGTGTGCTGAATTAATAAATGATACATCTAAGGAGTCACTGGGTAGACCAGTGCCTGCCTGCCACACAGTAAACGCACTAAATCTTAGGTGTTTTCTAAGAGCATCAACACTCCCGTTGCTGCCACCTGCGTCATCCGGCATCCCAGGTGTACTGTGGTCTGACCTTGATGGTTTTCCCACCACACCGCTTGCTCCATCCCACCTCACACTAAAAGCTCTGCGGCCCGAACTGTGGGCTCATGAGCAGTTCCTCAGCTTCCTTGGGGCTCGACTTCCCCCTTTGTAACAAACGAGGCAGGTAGATTTTACATTCCTACCAGAGACTCTCCAGGGAGTCTCTCTGCAGCGGGGGCAGGACCTGGGAAGTGTGATTTTGGCCACCACATACTAGGTGTTTGCCAAGAGCCAGGTACTGGGCTGGGGCCTTCATATGCGTTAGGTCATTAGCCCTCAGGCCTGGATGTGCAGATCAGCTCGGAGGTAAGCTGCTTGTGGACTATTGCCCTTTGGATGGGATTTATAGCCAGGGGACAGAAAGAGCCCACCCAAGGAGTGCCTACAGGCGGAGTGGGGTACTTGAAACAGCTCTAGGGTGTTGGCACTTTGGGCATCCTTACTTCCAGATGGAAAGTATCTTCACACAAGATACTTAATATCATCTCTCGCTTACAAACCAAGAAACTAAGGCTCAGGGACCTAAGGGGATTTGCCCAGGCTCGGTTAGGGGGCAAGTAACGGCATCAGGATTTGAACTCTGCCTCCCTTCAGAGCCAGTTGGTAACTACATTATGTTCTCAACAACCCTGTGGGGTGGTGGAATCACTTTACAAATGAGGAAACCCAGGCTCAGAAGGTTTCACAGATTTATTTTTAAGATTTTATTTATTTATTTGAGAGAGAGGGAGAAAGCACGCACAAGCAGGGAGGAGGAGCAGAGAGAGAAGGAGAAGCAGGCTCTAAACTGAGCAGGGAGCCCGCCACGGGGCTCAATCCCAGGACCCTGGGATCATGACCTGAGCTGAAGGCAGATGCTTAACCAACTGAGCCACCCAGGGGCCCCTCAAGGCAGATTTATCATCACTACCATTGCTCTGCTTCCTGAGTGCTCATTCTACCGGAAGTTCTGGGTATGTATTAACGTGACCATTTGACAGATAAGGAAACTGGGTTCAGAGAAATCAAGAACCTCGTCCAGCAGGTCACACGAGGCGTTCCCTCCTGGCTGGGGCATGGCCTCTCCACACACAATGACTTTGCCTTCAGAGGCCCCAGGAGAGGCGGGAGGTACTCACAGCTTGAGGACAGCCGACCGCTTCCCCAGCATCATGTTCACAAAGTCTCGGTAGGAGATGGTGTCGCTGACCCCACCTGTCACCTCTGAGATCATCTTTTTCATCTCCAGGTGGGTCTTGGGGACCCCGAGTTTCTCCATCATCCTCTTTAAAGACATCAGGTCTGCCAGAGGAAAAGCAGATACATTAACTGGAGACAGGGTGCAGGCCAAGCGAGGAAGCTGGTAGAGCTCCCCTGGCTCCCACGTCCAGGAGAAGCCCTGCAGGATAGCCCCTCCCTGGGGACTGCAGCCAAAGGCCTTTCTCCCCCAGGGAGGATGGGCCCATCACACCCTCCCTGCTCTCTTCAGAGAGTACAGTATAGACTAGTGGTTAGGGACATGGACTTGGGTTGCAATCCAACTCTGCTCTTCCCGGCTGTGGGACCTGGGGCAAACTACTTAACCTCTCTGAGATTCTGCTTCCATAAGCGGCAAAATGGGTTGATGGGATCATTTGAGAGGGCTCGATGCAGAAGTACCCAGCACAAAGCAGGTGTTTAGTAATGGGGCCGCTACGCTTCACTCTGTTAATGTCTGCTGCGCCCCGAGGTCAGGGTGAGTGTGTGCTCACTGCTCCAGCTCCCTGGGGAGTCACTGCCCAGCAAGGTGGGGTCAGGGAGTTGGCTGGACCCGAGGCAGGGCAGGTCATCCTGCAGGGTGCTGGGCGGCAGCTTCTCTCCACCTGCCACTCCCACCCAGCAGTTCAAGGGTTCCGCCTCGCTGGCAGGGCGAGGGGGCCAAAAATACCCTGCAGAGCAGGAAAACCAACAAAGGAACAAAATTCAAGGAAAACAAGGGAGGCACCAAAAAGTCACTATACTCCGCAGAATCGCTGCCTCTGACCCCCCGGCTCCCCAGATCTTAGGCAATTTCCTTCAGATTGTTCTGTGAACAATTGGGCTGGCAAAGGATGGCGGGAGGGAGGCGGGACGGGGGGCCGATTTTCAGGCCAGGGGTGTGGCGAGACAGCTCACCCGAGAGCAGGGCGGGCAGAACTGATGCCAGACCCCCAGGTGCCAGGATGTCCAGGGCATCTCAAAGAAAACTAGGCATCACTCTGTGGGGAAGAGTGAGCGGTCTCCCACATGCTGCTGGCCAGGCTTGAAATTGGCAAGACCTTTCTGGAAGGCAATTTGGCAAGATGTTTCAAAAGCCTTTGACACAGAATGTCTAATTCCTGAGATTTACTCTAAAGAAATAATCGACAATGTGGACAAAGATTCATGTACAAAGATGCTCTTCACAGGACTATCAAAAGTAGTTAAAATTGGAACTAATTGCGTGATATTAAGGCACTGGCTAAATAAGTTATAGTCCAGCCCCGCGGTGGAATTTTTTTTTTTTTTTAAGATTTTATTTATTTGCGAGAGACAATGAGAGACAGAGAGCACGAGAGGGAGGAGGGTCAGAGGGAGAAGCAGACCCCCCGCCGAGCAGGGAGCCCGATGCGGGACTCGATCCCGGGACTCCAGGATCATGACCTGAGCTGAAGGCAGTCGCTTAACCAACTGAGCCACCCAGGTGCCCCACCCCGCGGTGGAATATTACACAGCCATTAATTATATTCCAAAAGAAAAGTTAATCATATGTCAAAGCACTCACAATATATTATTTTTTAAAAAGGAGGTTCTAAAATGGTTATAAAACAGCATTTGTGATTAGAACAAAGGGTGGAAGGATATAAACCAAAATGTTCAGGGCAGTTATTTCTGGGAGGGAGGACTGTGGTTGACTTATTTTTGTCTTTGTGCTTTCCTGTGTTTTCCAAAAGTTTTTATGATGAAGATGTATTATTTGATAACCCCATTTTTTTTTTTCCTAAAGGAAAGCAAGGACAAAAATTTTTAAAAAGGAGAAGAAGGAGACAAGACAGAGGAGGGGTAGAAATATCGCAGCAGCAGCAACACTGAGCTCAGGGCAAAACACAGGAGGGAAAGCCAGTTTGGGGACCAAAGGCTGGGATCTGGACCCTGGGCCGACCACTTAACCACCACGTGCCCCAAGAGAGTCAAGTTCACCCTGCTGAGCCTCGGCTTCCTCGTCTGTAAAATGGGGATAATTAAGCCAGCCTTGACCATGTTATAGCATTACTCGTGAAGGTCAAGGTATGGTCTTGGACCTAAGGGCCAAGGGACAGGCGTTTGTCACCCCCCATGCCCGGACCACACGATACAATCAGGGTCTGCTGGAGGAGGGAAGCAATGTACTCAGAAGCGCCGTATCCAAATGCAAGGACAAAGGAACCGCCAGCACCTCCCTGCCCCCCCGCCCCCGCCAGGGCCAGGGCGTCAAGAGCCCAAGCATCTCCAACCCTGGGCAGGAGTGGCACCCTCTATCCTGAGTCCCCGTGGCACCTGGCGCGGAGGGCTGAGACATGCGCAGGGAGGTGGGTGGGAGGGCCGCAGCAAGGAGAGGAGCCTGGGGGCAGTGGATCCAGGGTAGAAGGCAGCCCGGCTTAAGGCCGGCATGCCGGCCTGGCCCATCAGGGAAGCTTCAGTGCGTGCCCCTCACCCACACAGGTGGGCCAGTGGGGCTCTCTGGACCCTCATACCCTCTACCCACCGGACACCCTCCTCCCCTGCACAGTTGAGGCCTCACTTACCAATCTCGCCCTCATTGTTCAGGTCAAACTCCATGTACTTCTCTGGAAATCACAGAGCAAAAACTGGCGTTAGCTCAGAAGCAGGGTCCCAGAGACGCCCTTGAGGGCAACTTGCCGGGTTCCCAGGAAGCCCACACCGTCCTCCTCACCCCCTCACTTGGGGGTCTTGACATGAGTCCCATTATCTCAGCCATTGTCTCTGGAGAAAGAGTTCGCCCTGCCTGCACCCCTCTCCCACAGGCACCATGGAACAAGGCGCTAGGGGCCATGTGACTCTCCGCTGAGGAGGGCAGCTACTTCCTCCCAGGTCCCCACCAGCATGAGCTTGCTGCATCACATTAGCTCCAAACTGACTAGAACAGATTCCCAGGCCCTGATCTACGGGTGCAGTGGCTTTGGGAAGGGTGGGGTGGGGTGGGGGCAGGAATCGGTATGTTCTAGAGTGTCTCAGGTGATTCTGAGCCGGGTGTAGGAATCACCGATTTAAGGAGTCCCTGCGGTTCTGAACCTTTGCGGGGGGGGGGGGGGGGGGGGCACCACTGAGAATCTGATGCTCTCCTGAGAGAAATGCCGTGAACCTGCCCTTGACCCAGGTGGCAAATACAGTGTCCAGGGGTACGCAGACCCTCCCCACCAAACCTCACCTACAGACCTTGAGTGAAGCCTCTCTGATCAAAGGGTCCAGGGAATCTCCAACAATGAGGGAGGACAGGTGGAGCAAGGAGCTTGGTATCCTCTGACAAGGACAGCATGTGGCCCTGGGCAGGTCCCCACCCCCCCACACACACCACAAAAAAACAGGGTCCTCGCGGTCTAGTCTGCACTGAACAGCCAGTATGAGAAGGCCAAGGTCTTCCCAGTGGCCGGAGTGGTCCCTGTGACCTTCCTGAGGGTCTACCCTCCAGTCTCTCGGGCTGCCTCTTCCTCCCTCACCTCCGCTCCACTCCAGCAGGTCCTGCTGCTCCTGGCCCATCCCTCCACCTCACCCGCCACCCCCTCCCTGCCACACTCCTGCTGGGGAGTGCTGCCCCTCGGCCTAGATGTTCCTCCCAGGTATTCTCCGGGCCCCCGCTCACGCTCTCAGGGCTCCCCAGCCTTCCTGGTGGGGCACTGTCACCCCCACAAAGCCTCTACAGCCATCTGTGGCTCTGCAGCGTCCTTCTGTTCCCCACTCCCTCCCCTGCCGCACATAAGCTCCTTTACTCAGGGCTCTCTGTGCCCCATTGCACCCCAGGCCTGAAGTAGGGCTGGCACGTAGTAGGTGCTCATTTGGAGGTCAAATGAGTGAGTTGAAAACCTTTACAGTCCCTTTGATTCCAAGCTAAGTTCCCATGGTTCCGGTCCACCCTGACAGACCCAAGCCTACGTCCCAGTGAAGACAAGGAGAGAAGAGCTCTTTCCCTCCTCCTAGAGCCACCTCTGGAGAGGGACCCCCTTGGTACCCGGGATAAGGGAATGGACCGCTCCTGCTTTGTGTGGCTCTCCTGGGGGTGGCGGGACGGGTTGGTGGAACGGGGCAGGGACGGGATGTCTCTGTTCTAGTTCCTCTTTTTGTTAATGTAAACAGCCCCATTGTGTAATGGTTCAGAGCAGGGGATTTTGGAGAGAGACCAACACGTGATCAAGCCTGAACTCCGCCATGGGCAAGCTGTGTGACCCCACACAAGTGACCCCACCTCTCTGAGCCTGAGTTGCTTCATCTGTAAATTAAAGCTCGCACCCACCTCCCTCCTGGCTGACTTGGGATGACTGGGGAGCTCACAAGACAGCATTCGAAGTGCTTCCCACAAGGTCAACACTCAACAAAGGCTTCACCATCAGGGTCCTGCCTAAGGACAACGAAGCTGTGAGCAGCTTGAGGAGCACTTGGCAGGCTCTTTGCCTTTGGAGCAGGGAGGATGTCCACATGGCCAAGACTTGGGGGAAGGGGGATGTGGCCTCGAGGATACTCGTGGGGGAGGGGGGATGTGGCCTCGAGGATATTCGTCGAGGTCCTCCGGCGGCCAGGGCTCCCTGCACGCCGACAGCGTCTCCCAGGCAGGAAAGGTGGGTCTGCCCTGCTCCTTATGTGCACAGCTCCTCTCCTTTCGGGCTGCTGGCTGGGAACCAAGCGCCGGGGCCCGGAACAGAGGGACCTTTATGCCGCCCCCTCCCCGCGCGGGCTCCCGGGCCCTGTTTTCTTTTCATCCCGTGCTGCTGGGATTCAATGGGCAGAAACTCTGCCCCCTGCCCCACTGTGGCGACACAAACGTCCATTCTGCACAGGGGCTCCCGAGCCGCTCCCCCGCGGAGGGGAGAGGCCAGGGCTGCTACAAAGGGCTGATTGTGTGCTGGGGCCCCGGGAGCGAGCAGGGCCTAGGCAGCAGCGGACAGGAGCCAGCCTGAGCCCTGCCTGCCCAGCAGCTGGAGGGATTGGGGAGGTGGGGGAGGCTGAGGGCAAGGGTGAGGGGCCTGGGGTAGCATGGAGGCAGGTAGAGGGGTGGGCATCCCATCTCACAGGCTTCCAGGAGGAGGGCGTTCTGGAAGAAGCAGGGGGCGCAGGCTGGCCTTGTGGGGTAAGAAATCCTATGCGCCAGGGGGCCAGCCCAGCTCTCCCGGGAGGGTGGCGCAGACAGCCCCAGCTTACCTTTGAAGGCGGCGAGCTTCTCCGGCAGGTTCTCTTCATCGCTGTACTTCTGGTCACAGAGAAACTCCTTCGAAGGTGGAAAGTACAGCTCTGAGACCCGGGTCAGCAGGCAGAACTTGCTGACATGTGGGCCCACAGCCCCGGTGTCTGCTCCCACGCCAGGTGGCCGGCCTTGGCTCCAGTGTTTGTCCTGGCCCCCTGTTAACCCCTAGAGGCAGATCTGCAGGAATCTGCCCCGTGGGCAGGAAGTATGCTTGGCAGCCCGGGGTGGGGCCCGGAGGGTCTGCCCTGAACACCTTCAGCCAGCCTCTGAATTACCAGTGTAGGGACCTGGGCCTCCTCCCCCAGGGCACCCCAGCTCCAAGATCCATGAAGCTGTGAGCCCCAAACACAAGCCGCCGGGTTTCCAGCATTAACTTCTTAAGTGTGACCCTAGCTTATTAATTCCTCCCTAGATCTCTATTGTTTTATCTGACAAATGGGTACAATCATCACAGCCACTTCTCAAGTTTTAAGAGACTCCAAGGAGAGTGTACGTATGACTCTTGGCATGCAGCAAGTGCTCAATAAACAGCAGCTATTGCGTTGTTAGTCTTTGCTCTAGCCAGAAGATGATTGTATATAGCTTGGGAGCTTGGATTGTATATAGTTCTCGTCCGTGTCCTCACCTGTAAAACAGGGCCACCTTCTCCTCAAATGATGCCTTTCAGAACCAGATGTGCAGGAGGGGGAGGGGTGCGGGACACAAGCAACAGCCTCCAGAATGAAACACCAACAATGCGCATGATCTCTTAGGCTCTCCCAGCGGGCCCAAAAGGTAGCTCCATATTACTTCCATTTTACAGATGAGGGAACTGAGGCTCACCCACGCAGAGCTTCACCTCGGCTCTGACTCCTGTGGAGCCCGCCTCCCTAACCCCGATGGGCAGATAGCAGGCATTCATCCGGCTTCAACACAAAACACCGCTAGTTAGTAAGCACCTGTTATGCTGGGCACAGCGCCAGGCAGCTTGCTTGCCTTGTTGCTAATCTTCAAGCCACCCTAGAACCTGTATTCAGATGGGAAAGCAGGGGATATGTCCCCACCCTAGCCCTGGACTCCACAAATCCCCTCTCTTCCCTGGACCTCGCTTTCCCCATTACTGAGCAGACCAGACATGGGCATCACCCCCTCCTTCAACTGTTTTTGAGGACCACAGGGTACGGCTCTGGTCGAAGCATTAAGGGAGCAGGTGAGACCAGGGAAATAAGGTCCTTACTGTGAAATTACAAGAAGCCTATGTTTAAAATGATGTTAAATGTTATCTAGATCCGCCACTCCATCTGTTTCTAAATTCCTGCTGCCATATCCCACTAACCGGTGACCAAGTCTGTACTTACGCATCTCCTGGGACACAAGACCTCCCAGTCTGCCATGTAAACCCCCAAGAGCTTTAATGTAGGAGAATGAATAGGAGAATAACTGAAAATAAAGTACTCGGGGTTTGGGTCTCAGTCCCCCCCCTCACTAGCTGTGAAATAGGCACAAGGGTATCCGTCTCCTCGGGCACCTGTCCCTCAACGGGGATAACCCACTGTGAACACTTAGTACCAGGCTTCTTTGTCAGCCCTCGAGAAGCAGCAGGTATGACTAAATGCGAGGCAGAATAGGATCCCTTCGAGGGTTCACGTTCTTCCACATTAACTCAACCCCCTTCGACAGAGAGGGAGCTATCCACCTGCCAGTGTGGCTCCCCTCGTTGGTTCTGGGGGCTCTGTTCTACCCCTTGAGCCCAATTTGCCTGGATCCCTAGAGGGGGTCAGTACCTATTGCGGACAAGCCCTGGCCGGTGCAGCATTTCTGCTTTGGGAGGGCACTGTGCTGTCTCATTAGGGTGGGAACAGCAGGGCCAGAGAGGTTAGATGACGTGTGTGAAGTCCCTATAGCTAGGAAGGCGCAGGCTTGGTTTGGAACCTGAGTGTTGGACTCCAGGGTCCAGACCTCCAGCAGCCTAGCAGAGGGCAACCCCAGCACCCACGGTGTGGATTGGCCACAGATTCACATTGGATCTCATTACCAGGTGCCACGCTGGGTCCTGCCCCCACTTAGCCGGAGCTGGGCTACCCTCCTCCTGGCTGGCTCTGTCCAGGACTTCTCTTCTTCTTGGCTCCCTCTCGTAGCTCCCCCCGCCCCACCCCCACCCCACTCTCTGACCCAAAGTAGGACAATTAACTCTTGTGTGTGGCCCCGAGCAAACCAGGCACCTCCCGGGGTCACAGGTCCAGTGATCTGCACAGCAGAGGGACAACTAGGTCAGTGGTTCCCAGACTTTGGCATAATGCAGAAGGAAACATTTCCCCAAAAAGTAAAAAATAGAGGGAGGTGCCACGAGTTCAAAAAAGGACATTTTGGGGACACCTGGGTGCATAGTCGTCGGTTCAGAGTCTGACTCTTGGTTTCGGCTCAGGTCATGATCTGGCGGTCCTGAGATCGAGCCCCATGTTGGGCTCTGCGCTCAGCATGGAGTCGGCTTATCCCTCTCCCTCTGCTCCCCCCCACCCTGCTCTCTCTCTCTCATAAATAAAATCTCTTAAAAAAAGGACATTTCATAAAAGTGGGAAGTTCATAATTTTTAAATGGAATCCATTTAGCCTATGTTCGGTTCACGGCATCGCCCCCGTGTTCCCTCCGCTTTACCATTTCGGGAACTGGAAAACCTTCTCGGGGGAGGCATAAGGGTACAGGCAAGGCCCAACATCTGGGAACCTCTGGCAAGAGTCCTGGGGGCCCTCCCAGCTCCTGCCTTCTGGTCGACCAGAAATCCTGCACCAGCCAGAGCCTGTCCCCAACAGGTAGCGACCCCCTGCGGGGATCCAGGCAGGTTGGGCTCAAGGGGTAGGACATGGCCCCTGGTCTTGGAGACAAATCACACACAAACGATCACAGGACAACCAGGCAGTGACTCCTGTTCACTGGGCCCGACCCCAGGCTGGCGGGTACAGCAACCCTGGGGGCCACGATTATTGTCTTCTCACCGAGGAAGCCAGTTTTCTCCTTCGCGCTTCTGACCACCTAACATGCTGTTTTATGGGTGCTCTCCCCCCAGCCCCACCCCCCACCCCCGCTAAAGTGAGTGCCTCGGCCCCCCTGGCCTCCTTTCTGGGTCTCCTCCATGCCAGGCTTGCTCCCACCTAGGGACTCTGCCCTTGGCTGTGCCCCCTCCCTGCAGCGCTCATCCCCCCCACACCCGCATGGCTCTCTCCCTCACCTCCTAACACAACTGACAATGTGGTGCTTATTAAGGGTGTCGTCCATGGTCTGTCTCCCCCGCCACAGTGCAGGTTGCACATAGTAGGTGCTCAATAAATACCTGCAGGCTGAGTGAATGAACTGAGACCCAGAGAGGATAAAGAACTGCTCAAGGCAGTATAGCTACCAAGTGACCGAGCTGGGATTAACGACCACAGTGGAGACTGTCCCAGTCCTCCACAGAGCTGAGGAATCCAAGTGACCCAAGGTGGTGGCTGTTGGAAGGAGGCCGGGGGGGGCGGGTGGGAAGGCAAGCCTTTGGCCACAGATGCCAGGAGGATGAGCTTACTGTCTCATGCCCCAGAGATGCCTAGCACCCAGCAATGCCCAGCACACAGTAGGTGCTCAGGAAACATCTGTTGACTGGAGAGGCCTGGCATTCAGCCCGGAATCACTTTCTCCACTCTCCGCCCTGACACGGGTGGGCAGCTCTGCAAACGTGCACACGTACGACACAGACTAGAGGGGCTCAGAGATGAGAATCCCATTTTTCTCAGAGCCCCAAATGACAAGGGCTAGAGCCACGGAGTGGCCAGGGCTGGGAGAGGCATCTGACCCGTTCACGCGTGGCTGGGCAAGCCTTGCTGACCCCAGCCTTGGGGCAGCTCTGTGGACCAGGCCTTTGGCAGGGCACCAGGGGGGGCAGGTGGGCAGCAGAAACAGGAGTTTCCATTGGTGGGGCTGCCATCTCTCCCCCCGCACCCCGCCCGGCTCCACGCTTTGGATTCTTGGTTCCACAGCCCTCAGCCTCCCCACTTCCAGGCGTCCTCCCGCCCCCACCCCGGATCCTTGCCCAGCCTCGGGGCACAGCCATGCCCAGCAGGCAGGTACCCTGGGTCCCCAGGAAGAGGAGAAAGAGAAGCCACCGCAGATGTTTGGAACAAAAGCAAAAGAGGGTGAGCTGGAGCCCCAAGGCCTGGGATCGAACCACTGAGTAGCTGTGTGAAAAAGACTTCATTTGTCTGTGCCTTGGTGCCTTCATCTGTAGGAAGGATAAAAATATCTCCTAGGCTTGGCCTGAGAACCGCAGGATGCAAGCAAATACACGTGAAGTGCTCGGACAGCGCCTGGCCCCTAGTAAATACTACATAAACGTTAGCCGCTTATTATTGGGACCTCCTAACACTTACATGCATATAATCCACTTACAACCCCACAGCTCACCATTCAGACCTTCATCAGCTATTAAACAGATTCAGAAGCAAACTCCCTCCCCTGACTTAGGCTGGTTATGATTTCTCTTTCCCCTTTCCGGGTGTTCCCCTTGGATAGCTGGGACAACTAAGGCCCAGAGACGTTGCTCAGCTTGCTCAACGTTACGAAGTTTTAACAATTCAAACAAAGTCTACCTCCCTTCACCATCCCAGCTCCTTCCCTGCCCCAAACAAGGAGAGGGTGGCCGGGCCACAGGTTTCTGGGCAAAGAAAGTCAATACCGAGAGTTACCTTTCCTCTTGGGCAGCTGCAGAAGGAGGTTATTCCAGGGGCCAGGGAACCACTCTATAGCCCTCTAGGGGGATGCAGAGGGTGTGTGGATGCATTCCTCCAGCCCCATGCCCCTCTCCCCCTCCAACTCACTGTCCCAAAAGACCAGTTTTTCCAGCTGCAGAAACTGTTGTTAGGGCCTCTAGGGATGAGGGGTGCAGGGGGCCCCTGGGCTCTGAAATGGTGGCCTGGTCAGTCCCTGGCAAAGAGCCAGAATCCACAAGTGGGCAGGAGTCTGAGGTCAAAAACAGGAAGCTGCGAGCCTCAACCGGAGTGTCCACGGGCAAGGCCCAG